ATACAGGGTTAGTCCCAAGGGGTTACCCCCACCCCATGCCATTTAAGATAGTTCTTATATCTTGTAAGTGGTCAAGATCCCCACCCCTAAACTATATATATTCTGCTTTGTCGTGCTAAGATGGTTTGAATAATATACAGGGTTGTAAGTCCCCAGTTCTGGTTTGTCATGATAAAGCAAATCAAATGAAATACAGGGTTAGTCCCCAGGGGTCACCCCCACCCTATGCCATTTAAGAAAGTTCTATTATCTTGTAAATGGTCGAGATCCCCACCCCTAAACCATATATATTCTGGTTTGTCATGCCAAGATGATTTGAATGATATACAGGGTTAGTCCCTAGGCATCACTAATGCATATAACTTTACTGGACCAAACCAATTTTCACTGGACTTTGCCCAATGTCAGGCGACCCTGGGAATTACAATTATGGGAGCTTCGTTTGGGAGACTTCGTAACAGCATCCTGTTACAATCATTTCTTGTTTATTTTTTGTTATTATCTTAGATATCATTATAATATCTAATATCTAATACTATTAATTATGATTTTAACCTTATTTTACGTGATTTCCAAAGCATCAGTAAATACAGGTGAGCGACACAGGCTCTTGAGAGCCTCTAGTTGTTTATACCCATAAGGCTCTAGATGTCTTTTCTGGTTTTATATTACTGGGTTGCTGTCACATCAATGTATAACCCCAAATCTCAGTTGTATCAATCTTTTGTATGAAGTTTTCAAAATGTACTCTTTGCCCCAGTTCTTGGATAGATAACATTTGAAGTATCCAAGAGCTTTTTGCTGTCATCTTGCAATTTAAATAACTAATATTATAATTACATACAAATACAGAAAAATAAACTTAGGTTATCAAAACCAAACTTGAGAGGATTTTCTAAAAAAAAATTTAAGGTGAAATTAAATATTGAAGTAAATAAATAAAAGCTTCGATAAGTAGTATTGAGGTGCTTTTAAAGTTTTCTGTTACAACCAAATTGTTATATGAACAAGGATATAATTATCTGTTGCAAGTTTTTACCTGTGGAATATTTCATTGTGAAATACCTAAGAAAAGGGACCACTTTTGTTTTGGTGGAAATTGAATTTTAACCTGAATAGAATGTGCTTGTATTACCAATTTTAAATGATAGATGTTCGATCAATCTATCCTTCAGTAAACTTCATAAATCTTCTTTCTTTATTATCTCAGACACCCTGCAAAGCCGCTCTCTCACCTGAATTTAGCTGTCAAAAGTTTGGATTTGTGTCAAGTTAAAAATTATGATTTATTTCAGGTGAAATGAAAGTTCATGTATTGAGACACAAAACGGTACTAGTTTAACTGTATCATGATTTCCAAGTGTTGTCTCATGTTTCATGTTGTCATGATAAATATCTCTGGATGTGAGCCATGTGGACTCACAGGTCTACCTTTTTGCCCTTTCCCTAATACATTTTTCTGGTCACTAATGAGCATATTGCACAAACTCGAGACCTTTGAGTGTTACAGCTATTCAGCACAAACACGAGACCTTTGAGTGTTACAGCTATTCAGCACATACACGAGACCTTTGAGTGTTACAGCTATTCAGCACAAACACGAGACCTTTGAGTGTTACAGCTATTCAGCACAAACACGAGACCTTTGAGTGTTACAGCTATTCAGCACAAACACGAGACCTTTGAGTGTTACAGCTATTCAGCACAAACACGAGACCTTTGAGTGTTACAGCTATTCAGCACAAACACGAGACCTTTGAGTGTATCTGCTATTCAAGGCCATACAGTGACCTTTAGTTGCTGACTTCTACAGCATTTTGTCTTTGGTGGAGAGTTGTCTCAATGGCAATCATTCTACATTCTTATGTTTATATTACAACTGAATGGGGATTTACTACTTTATTTAAGCATATGGTATAATCTCTGTTGATAAATGTTCTTATTAGGGTAAAAATAAATGGAGTCACCATTCTTGATTTTACTCTTTTGATTCTGTAACATGTACCTGTAGTCATAGCCTGTGGATTTTTTTTTATTTGACATTCAACTGTTGTAAGGCATATATCTACAGTGGACAATGTCATGTGCTAGTATTCAGAATTAGAAAATGAATAAATAATTGTTACAAATCTATTGGAATTGACTTGGAACAAAAATTTAAAACAGGATAATGTTAGGTGTCCCTCAAAGGCGTGAGACTGGTAGCCAAAGAAATTTTTAATTTGTATGTATGGTAAATTTTTCTTACCTACTGGTATATGTAGAATCATGAGAGTATGTCATTAAAGCATTTCCTAACTGTAGCTTTCCTTATTAATTGTTGGTACTAATTTTCATGGAGGAAGCCACAAGTTCTGCTGAGCAACTAAAGACATGTACAAATTTAATATAGGTTGGTATTGAGATAATTATAAATCCACGAAATCTAGTATCCTTGAAAATTTGTAATAATTTTTCTTTTATCAACAAAAATTGGTACCCAGGAAATTAAATAAAACCTTAGTTCTTTACTGTGATCCTTTGACAGAATCATATAAATGTTTTTATGAAAAGTGATTACAATTATTAAAGATAAAATAAAAATAAATTGTCACAAAAGGAAATGCACTAATTTTAAATCGAAATATTAGGCATGACATAATAACTAAGACCTGTGAAAATTTTTAAGTTCAGACAAACCTAACTTTTGCAGGTACTGATTTTGATTGAGTTAATACATTAGTATAAGGTAATGATATGTGTTTTTTATTCATTTGCATTAAATTACCATGTTGTAGAAAGGTTAGGAATTTTGTATAATTGAGTTGTAAACAAAAATCAAAATAATTTTCTTTACTTGAAAAAATTAAAGTAAATAAAAAGTGACACTCCATTAATCTTTTCTCTACAGGAGATATCTTAATGTAAAAGTAATGAAAAAAATATGGACAAATTATGATGTGGAAATGATTTATTCGTGAAAATATGAGTTAGTCAATGGTTTGCAATAGTCATGTTCTATAAATTTAAGTAATTAGTTACGGCATTACATGAAAAATTTGTAAAACAAACCTTGAAAAAGCTTGAACTTATTATAATTAATATGTTATATCAAATTAATATTTTTCTGCTTCGATGGATATCAATTGGTTTATTGAAGCAGCTCTATCTCTGACAAGTCATCTACACTTGATTGTGACTCTGTGTTTTTCTTTACTTATACAAAAACTAGCTAGCCGACACCTCCGTTAGATATTTGACATGTTGTTATTTAAATTGTCAACAGGGGGTTAATGAAATTAGCGAAACCTGAAAGATTCTTTAACGATTAGGGTATTGGGTTTTCGTTTGGTTTATGGGTTTAACAATACCAGTGATCATGAAGCGTTAAAACGAGATATCCTTTGAACTTGGAAAGTTATACAAGAAAGTGTTAATGTAATTGAAAATCACAGTTTAAAACAAGAATAAGTTTTAAATGATTTGAAATCTTCAAGGACAAATTCCACTTTGTATGCCAAGTTTTTATTTTCCGTATTTGAAATGTAGTGCAGATTCAATGTAAAAGATTAAATCTTTCAGATGGATTTCAGACTGCACAGTTTTATATTTCAATCAAAAATATGTATTTCGGAAACATATGTCATTTGCATTGAATTTGTTTTAAAAAAATTGCTAAAGGCAAGAACATTTTTTAACTATTTCTATTAGTGTATAGAAATGAGCACTATTTAAGGTTTTATATTTTAATGGTCCCGTTGAAATTTGTATAAAATGGTTTGACAGCCCATCAAAATGGATTTGTTATTATTTATAAATCCTGTTTTACTTTGAAAACAGATTTAAAAGTTGAACTTGGTGTCACAAAGATCTTAAAATGAAAAGTAAACAGTATAAAATCATTTTAATTTTTTTGTACAGAAAACATAAAAGAGTCCATTACCAGTGTTCGAGTGTATACACGATTGAAGTTGAACAAATTTAGTTCAATCTACTTGTTCAGAAACGAAGAGAGATCTTTTATTACGTCACTCTTGACAGTTTTTTTTTGTCATTCCTGACATGCACATTTTTATGTTTCCAGTATTTTCATATATCAAAATTTACAATTTTCATTCAATATGCAATTGGTAAAATTGTGTAGAACTCCGGTCTCGTTGTAAAGTGACAATTTGCTCTATTTGTTCATGACTGAGAAATATTTTTCGACAATGTTATCAAATGAACCCTGCAGATCAAAATCAGCCATAGTAGAAAGAGCAAAAAGTAGGGAAAAGTTCCTAATTTTTAATATCTTGCATGATTGATCAAATATATTTTGAAACTCAAAGTGTATGCAGGTCTCATATAATATAATTTTTGGTAAAAATCGAAAAATGCATTTTAATAATTTTTTTGAAAACTAGTATATAGTCATCAAATCTGAATTTAGATTGCATATATAACTGGTTTTTTTTCAATTTAATTCTTAAAAAAAGGTTTATATACAAGCTATGACTTATTTCAGTCATGATTGTGCATAATATGAACTTAAGTTCCATGACAGAACCATATTCTGATTAGAAAATACTGTTGTTCATTATTAATTTATCTGTTTGAATTGGTTGGTTTCAGATGCTGATATGGGATTTTGAAAATGGAGGGGGCAACAAAGCAACATTAGTAGTAGGACTTTAAAAAAAGTCTGTGCATTAACCATATATGTAGCTCCATAAGAGTCTGGCCCCCTTTCCCTTCTCTTCCTTATTTACCTCTGGGTTTTAATGAAAAAGATAGAATATGGTGTATTAAATCATTGCACAAAAATCTTTCATTCGCTTCTCAAAATTCAAAGAACTTTTATTGGTGCTTATCTTTTCAAAAGGTTATTGTGACGACTACATGTATGTACCGATAACTCACATCTCACTCCCAAGTTCAAGAAAGTACCAACCTTAGACAAATAACCTTAATATAAAGCGGTTATTGACTGATTTTGTGTCTGACTTACTATTGTATTCATTGAACTTTTCTTTTTGTAGACTGCCAGAGGGATTTACTCAGCTGCTGAACTTGACCCAACTTTTCCTGAATGACACTTTCCTGGATTATCTCCCTGGAAACTTTGGCAGGTAAGCTTGTTCATAATGGCTTCCACTCAGAAGGAAATAACAGCCTTTGTGAAAGTGTTGATACAGGTTTTAAGTACACATATTTACAAAAGTTTTTATGCACAATTTACCTTAAGATAGTTCGATCAGTTTCCAGGGGTAATTATTTATAGATGAAATCTTTTGAAACAAGAAAGAACACATAAATTGAATATACATGTAACATGTCATTCATAAATTTTGGGTTTTAAACTTTAAAGCAGTAAAACTATGTTCAAGTAGACAGACATATTTTCATATCCAGACAACATCTTGTGCCAATGACACTTTTTGAGATATCAGACAACTTGAAGAATTTGTAAGTTTCAACATATATTACCCTCCAATATAATACCTCATCTTAACCCTGACATATTCGTAATATTATTTATTTTCTTTATTTAAACTCTCTCTTTTTATAATATTATTTTATCTTGTTTGACAGATTATCCAAATTGAAGATTTTAGAACTTCGAGAGAATCATTTGAAGACATTACCAAAATCCTTCTCCAGACTTACAGAGTTAGAAAGACTGGATGTTGGTCACAACGAATTCACAGAATTGGTATGATCTTAAGGATGTAGTCCTGTCAGGTTTAGGAATTTTTGTCAGATGTTCGTACTCCTTGGGTTTTTCCTACGATACAGGGTAAAATATTTTGCCCCATATCACCCACTTTTCTTTTCATAGAAGACTTCAACAGCTCATAAAAAGTCATCAGCAAGATTAATGCAGATTCTATATTTCTTTTCTTACGATTTGAGATCCAAATAATGCCAATATAAGATATAACCCTCATGAAAAAAAGGTGTCTGAATTCTGTCTGACAAGTATTCTTAATTTTTCTTATTTTTATTCTGAGTCAGTCTTTTCCCGCCATTTTAAAAAAAATCAAATATCTCTGAAAGGACTTCCATCACCTATCAATATTTTAGCTTATTTTGTTCCCTAACTAATACTCTGCTGATTTATAGCATCAATTTTAAAATCCATTTTTTTTTTAATTTCACCTAACTAAATCCTTGATAACTTCGCGTAGCAATATTTGTTCTGATTATGCTTTTGATAGAGATCACCGAATGTTAGGCAGAAACAGTCAATAGTAGATGATTTCCTATTTGAAAATTACAGTTAATGAAGTATAATTATTATGCTCCCTAGCATTGAGTGGGTGGTGATTACTGCATTAATCTTGTCTGTCCATTCATCAACACATAGTGTTTGTTAAATATTTCGGTAGGAACAAATGATTTAAGTGCATATGATACAGTCACAGGGGAGGTAATGACGTTGCTAACGAAAAATATTTATTTTTTGCGACACCAAACTGGAACATATCGGGAAAAGATGCATTTTTCAAGTGATTTTAGTCATTAGCTTGAAAATGAGTACATGGACCCCTCTTTTTCAAAATGACATTTGACTTGATACGGAATGAAGATTATTTGTTCCAATTGTTATGAAAAAATCACAGATGAATTTATTTAAAATGATATAAATATGCTGCAAAAAATGATGTTTTTTTCTAAAATCATGAGAATTTGATAAAAAATTAATTATTTACAAAGAATTGTTACACAAATTAAAAACATCCTTTATAAAGAAGATATTTCTAATCTTTTTACAAAAATCCACATGTGTTTATCTTTTGAAACAAAAAAGTTAAGTCTGTCTGTCATGTCTGTCTAAATGATAGAAAGGCCCAAGATACCGAAATTTTAAGTAAAAGTCTTAAATTTCGACCCCATTTATCTCTAAATTTAGCACATGAAGGTATATTTTTTATAACATATTTGAATTAACTTATTGAAAAATAGCTTGTATGCAAATTTTCATAAAAAAAATCACAGTGGGATCAAAACTGTATCGTATGCCCTTAATATTTGCTTTTGAACATAAAATTAAGATAAGTTGTACAGCAATATTCAGATCTGATATAACATGTATATTAAAAGAAAAAGTTCCAAGATTACTGTTGGTTTTTAGTGAGGTTTTTATTGCTCAGTCTTTAGTTTTCTAAGTTGTCTTTTATAGACTATTGTTGTTTGGTCTTTTTTTCATTTGTTAGTTCATTTTCGACTTTCTCTTTGGTATCTTCTGCCTCTTGATTGCCTCTTTTCGATGGTTTTATGTTTTTTTGATGAAATGTTATGTCAGCTGTTAATTAACCTCAATTGACCCCAAATTTCATTAACTTTTGTCTCAGAAATAAATGAAATTCTTTGAACTAAACATGTTTTAGAGGATGTTTTTAATATACTTCAGTATAGCTTTCTTTGACATTAAATTCAGTTTCCCTCCCCTGATTTTGCTTTTGAGATGTCATCATACATTTGTAATTACTTGCCCTGTTTTTTGTTAATAGGCTTAATGCTCTTCCAAGCAGAATGTTTTAGCTTGTACATGGTGACTTCTTTCCACTTTGCATATGTGTGATATGACCTACCACAATGAATGTCGCTAAAATAAACCAAAAAGGTGTAAAAAAAACCAGAACAGAACAGAAAAAACAAGCATATTCAACAAACAAAACACACCTAACTGCAATAATTCTGAAAACTCAATTTTAAGATGTGTTAAAGTTGAATTACATATTTAAACTGATGACAAATTTCTGTAACTATTGATCAAAATGCAAAATTATGTTTACTTTAGTAAACATCGAAATTCACTAATGAAAAGAAAGCACAACCATTTATGGATTTTTTTTATTCAGATCATAATGAATTTGTATAAGTGAATTATATATAATGTCTAACCTTATTTTTATTTTGTAGCCTGATGTGCTGGGAAATTTAACTAATCTTTTAGAGCTATGGTGTGACCATAATCAGATAACACAGATTACACCAGTATGTATTAGCATAATTAAATCAGTCTTACTAACAGTACATACAAGTTGATTTTAGTTTTGAATGATTCTGGTGTGTTAGTTTGAAGCTTGGGAAAAAAGTTTTTCACATCAATAAAATCTTTTCTGATGTCACGAAAAACGAATTCTTATGCAGATGAAATAGTTTTGTAGAAATTGTTCTATTATTGTATGAACATAAGTTTTTATACGACCGCAAACAAATTTTTGTGGTCGTATATTGGTATGACGTTGGCGTCGTCGTCGTCGTCGTCGTCCGAAGACACATTGGTTTTCGCACTCTAACTTTAGTTTAAGGGAATGGATCTTTATGAAATTTTACCATAAGGTTCAATACCACAAAAGGAAGGTTGTGATTGATTTTGGGGGTTATGGTAATAACAGTAAAGGAATTAGGGGCCAAAAAGGGGCCAAAAATAAGCATTTTTGTAACTTCCAGACATAACTTGTGTGTTAGTGTATGGATCTCTCTGACATTGTACCACAAGGTTCCATATCACTAAAGGAATGCTGGGATTGATTTTGGGGGTAATTGCCTCCAAATTTTAGGAATTAGGGGCCAAAAAAGGGGCAAAAAACAAGCATTTTTCTAGTTTCATGACAATAACTTGTGTGTAAGTGTATGGATCTTTCTGAAATTGTACTACAAGGTTCCAAATCACAAAGGGAAAGCTGGGTTTGAGTTTGGGGGTAATTGCCCTAAACGTTTAGGAATTTGGGGCCAAAAAGGGGCCAAAAAACACATTTTTTTCTAGTTTCCAGACAATAACTTGTGTTCAAGTGTATGGATCTCTCTGAAATTGTACTGCAAGGTACCATACCACAAAGGGAAGGCTGGGATTGAGTTTGGGGGTGATGAATCATAATGGGGGTTCAAAAAATTTTGGGGGGGGATTTATTTTTTTTTCCTTTTTTTTCTTTTTTTCCTTTTTTGTTTCTTTTAAAATTTTCCATTTTAAGTTGGTTATTTCTGATTTATATTTAAAATCAAATAATAATGATATGGTAGGAGATACACACCAAACAGGATGTGTAAATTATTATATAATAAGTATTGTGCAATAGCAAGAAATTTTCAATTGCACAGTATTGCACAATAGCAAGAAATCTTCAATTGCACAGTATTGCGCAATAGCAAGAAATCTTCAATTGCACAGTATTGCGCAATAGCAAGAAATATCCAATAGCACAATATTGCACAATAGCAAGAAATTGTCAATTGTACAGTATTGCGCAATAGCAAGAAATATTTAATAGCACAGGATTGTGCAAAAGAAGATACTTCCTATAAATTGCTTATTTCTTGACCAATTTCAATGGGGTTTTATTCTTGATTTCATGGGGTTCTTTAATATGCTGAATCTAACCGTGTATTTAGTTTTTGGATTTTGGGCCCCGTTTTTAAATTGGTCCACATTGAGGTCCAAAGGGTCCAAAATTAAACTTTGTTTGATTTCATCAAAAATTGAATTATTGGGGTTCTTTGATATGCCGAATCTAACCGTGTATTTAGATTCTTAATTTTTGGTTCCGTTTTCAAATTGGTCTACATTAAGGTCCAAAGGGTCCAAAATTAAACTTAGTTTGATTTTAACAAAAATTGAATTCTTAGGGTTCTTTGATATGCTGAATCTAAACATGTATTTAGATTTTTGATTATGGGCCCAGTTTTCAAGTTGGTCCAAATCGGGGTCCAAAATTAAACTTTGTTTGATTTCAACAAAAATTAAATATATGGGGTTCTTTGATATGCTGAATCTAACCATGTATTTAGATTTTTGATTTTTGGGCCCCGTTATCAACTTTGTCCACATTGAGGTCAAAAGGGTCCAACATTAAACTTTGTTTGATTTCATCAAAAATTGAATTCTTGGGGTTCTTTGATATGCTGAATCTAACCATGTATTTAGATTTTGGATATTGGACCATAATAGGTGAATGTCCAATTTAAAATTTTTAAGTTCTTAGACCACATTCAATCTGTGTTAGAAACCTATGCTGTGTCAAATATTTAATCACAATCCAAATCCAAAGCTGTATCAAGCTTGAATGTTGTGTCCATACTTCCCCCAACTGTTCAGGGTTCGACCTCTGCGGTCGTATCAAGCTGCGCCCTGCGGAGCATTTTATTTAGAACATGTCATTGGAATTATAAGTAATACAAATTTCATTTTTCTGTGTAAACCCAGCCTTCATTTACTAAACTTAACATGAATTCTTTTCGAAGGTTTTACAGTTTGTTATTTAGTTGGCCGAGAAAGCACAGCAGTAAATTGATTCGAAATGATTTTTAGTACAATAATCCCTAGTCGTGGTGATTATTCACTGTAAAAACTGGTGATTATTTGTTATTTTTTTCTGAAATATCTCACTGTGCATATATACTCAATAGAAATTGAATGACAGCATTGTGAATCGGATTATTGTCTCCCCCTTCAGACAAGCAATCTTGGTATTTTATCATTTCACTCGATCAGCTCCAGCAAGAGTGATTATGAACTGAATGACCTTGATTATATAACATTGTAATAATCTTTTAGCAGCAGATATGAAAATCACAAAGGGATTAAATGTATTGATAGAAATACCCTGGATATCAAATAGGTATTATGTCAAACAAAAACAGAGGAAGTACATTTTATTGTTGGTTTCTATTTTAATAGTTTTTGAAAAAGATATTGGTTTGAAGAGTTTTAAATTTTGGATTTTAAGATAAACATATTTGGTCTCTATGCAAAATTTGTATTGCCTTGGATGCTAAATTTTATTTTTGGAGTAAATGAATAGGTACCCCAGGAACAATGATTACTTTTAAATTTAGAAGTGTGCTAACAAACTTTCATTACCAATAGACGTATTTACACTTTTGTGTACTTAGCTGAATTTGCCTTGAATGACCCTAGATCTTGCTCCCCGTAACCTTCTGACATCATGCAACAATTAATTTTTAAATACGAAGTCAAATTTTTGTCAATTGTGGTGCAAAATTTTGCGGGGAACTTGTGTGAATTTAAGTAATAGCAGACAAAGTTACATACTAGTGTAAATATGTCTATATGAACATAATTCTTACTCCCTATATTCATGCGTGATACAGATCAATGAAATATACTACACTATTTGTGTATACTGGGAATCCTCAAAGGTATATCTTCAAAACAATTGGTCAAGTACTGTAAATTTATAAATTATTGTGAGCATTAATTATTGCAATTTTGACATCGCCAACTAAAATTCAAGATTTATTTTTGCAATTTCAGGAAAAGCTGCAAACAAATATATGTATCATGCAGATATCAGAATGAGAGTTCTTATTATTGCGATACTCACCCAGTCGTATTATTTGCATCAATAAAAACCCCGAAATACTTTCTGAATTTATAAAGTTCAAGAGTTAAAAGTTGAAAAGGTTAAACACATTTTGAGAGGACTTTTATTGGAGTGCAAATTTGGGAAAAAATTATTTAATCTGAAAATAAATCTAGTTATCGAGAGTGGTAGCACTTTCAATAACAGTACATGATTTATAAGGTAATAGGTTAGACTACGTAAAAATCCACGAAAAATTGCCTCATTTCATTAAATAATTGAATTTATGATAAATACCTAAGATTATTTTGCTGTGATCAAGACTCATGAAAACATTAAGATTTGATAACTAGTAAGGTCAAAGACAGTGGTATTTTAACGATTGTAGTAGCTGTTACATTTTATGAATTTATACCCTATTTAGGATTTTTTATAACCAAATAAAATTTATATTATTGTAACAAATTGACAGTTTTGTGGTGTGGCTTTTATTTATTTGAAAAATTAAAAGACTTTATAAGCAAATTTGCAGTTAATAAATCCTTTATTTGTCTGTCCATGCTCAGATAAGTGTATAGATTTATAGATTTGAATAAGTCGATTTGTGAAAGTGAAATGAGTACAAAATGATAATAAAAATCAAACATTACTATCAAAGCATGGAGGAGGGACAGTTTGATAGAATATTATTTTTTGTTCTTCTATAAGATTTACTTCTATAGGGAGTTACTGGTAAAAGTATTTCTACATTTTATATCCAAGAAAGTTTTCGAAGGTGGGACAATCCATTGAGTAACCACATATCAATAGCGATTATATCATTTTTCTTGATTCATCCTTTTAAAATAGTTTTTAAGACATTCACTTAAAAGAAATTTTAAAGTACAACGAAGGTACACTAATGTATTCTACCTACATAAATTGAATGCATGGAGGTGGTTTGAATTTTGTGATTTTTCAAAGGCACTCTTATCTTACTATATATATCCTATCATACTACTATCCTGAATATCAGTCTTCACGCTCAACGACAGGCCCACCAGCCCAGGCTTGTAAAAATGCTGTCGGGCCTGTAAAAATCATCTCTTTAAGCCAATAGAATCTAATTATAACTAAATTTTTCTTAAAATTCAGCTTTGGGCCTGCAGATTTAAAAGATTATTTATGCATGAAGTATTTGCCACTGGACTTTAAGCAGAGAACTAGCAATCAATCATATGAACAAGTCCAGTAGATATTGATTTATGTTTACTTAACATCACCTCATCACAAAAGACTAGGCTCCTTTCTTAACTTTCTATGATTGCCAGTTTTTCCTATTCAAGGTCTTTGTTCTCTTGAAGTACTCTGCTTTCCTCCATCGATAAAAACTGGCCTCCAGGATAAAGCCAAGAGAGCTGAAACTGTCGTTTAACACTAACAATCAAAAGATTATATTGAGAAAGTTAAAGGGGAGGGAAATGTCCAGTCATCAATCTGTCCTTCAGTTGAACTTGCAAGATATTTATGCAATGCAACAAACATTTCATGTCTGGGTGTTTGGGATATAAAAGAATTTTATTGAAATATCAAGATATTGATACTGTTTTGTACACTTTGTATCACAGTGGGAAAAATCTTGTATATTTTTGTTAGATTTTAAATGCAATATGTAAAAACATTTATTAGGGCAAAAAGGTTTCATTATTGGAGATATTAAAATTTTTATTGAATTATTTAGATATTGATACTGTTTAATACACTTTATATCACAGTGGGAAAGTACCTTATATATTATTGTTAGATTTTAAATGGAAAATGTCGACACCAGGGCCCACTGATATGTATAGACCCGTATAAAATAAAAATATGTTATTTAAGTTTACCAGTGTATATTAGAAATTGCAAAAACTGAGGGGATAATGATTTGTTGAATTAAGCAATAAAAGCAGTACAAAGATGCATGGTTTTATAGTCGACAGTTTATGAAAGACATCAAAGAAGGTCGTTATTCAGTTAATAAATTTTTTATTCCCTTTATTTTTTTTAATGTCAAACATTAAATTTTGGAATGAAATAAAAAATGACCTTAAAATTGATTTTTAAATGTGTGTAAAAATAACATTAAACTGATAGAATTTGGTATTAAGTTTCTTGTTATAGATATCACACTTGTTGTCTGATGACATTTAAGGTTTTTAAAGCAAAATGGATACTTACTTGGATTCTTGGGAAGGTTTATAGATATGTCAATGCATAAAAGGATTAACCAATAGTGTGAAAACAGTAATTAAAGTATCATTTTCTGTTTACATTAAAGATCATTAAAACATGCATTAAAATTTCAGATACCTGATCAGGATATCCCACAATGCAAATTTAAAATGGCATAAGGCTTTTAATTCAGATTGATCACATGTTATTGATATGAAATATTATTCATCTAGAAAAATTCTATTGCACATTATTAATATATGAATGTGGAAACATCGGCAAGATTAATCCTTACCCAAACAATAGTTTAATCATGGGATGCATGGCCTAATCTAGAATTATTCTATATTTTTTTTGGCATATGAATAGTATTTCAAAAATAAATGTACATATGACCATCTGAAATGTTGTGTGATGAGTTATTGATCCTGATTTTTGATGGAACATTCAGAAAATGCTCAAAAAGTGAAGTGTAGCTTAATTAAACTGCGAAAATATTTGAATTCTGTATTTCCATCAAAATATCAAAATGTCAACTAATCATAAGTTGTACAACCTTTTGTGAAACAGAGACTGAGGTCCTTCTGCAGAAAATTGGGTATGTTTGCTATATGAAATCTTATATATTTATTTTGTTTTACTTTAGACTATTGGGAATTTGAAGCAGTTGATGTTTCTTGATGCATCTAAGAATAAACTTCAATCCTTGCCTACAGAGATAGAAGGCTGCACATCATTGGCTGACCTACATCTGACAACCAATCAGCTACAGTCTCTCCCAGACTCCATAGGTAAGGCAACTAGCACAAGATATGGATATTTTGCTGTGTCTGAAATTATCAAAAAACTATATATGTTAATGTCAATGTCAATGTTAATAAAACATGTAATAACTAAGGTGTTGCACAGGTGTGCAAATATTAGTTTTAGAGTGCAAATTTGTTAACTAAATGTAATAAAAAGTGAATAAAAAAGCATACATAAATATTATACTTGAAGGTCATTTAAGGTTACTTTTTGTGTAATCTAGACATTTTGTGTAAGTGGGAGAATAATCTCTTAGTCTCACATAATGGAGAGGAAAACAAAACTTGGTATTTTGTTTATATTTGGTTTACTGCTATCAGAGGGGAAATCTGAAAGTATAAACCACTAACTAAAACATTATGAAAACACTTGTTGAATCACATTTCAAAGGCAATTCACTTATCTTTAATTTGGATTTAAATTCCCCGTTAATGTGTGATTTCATAGCCTGAAGCTGAAACTTTTTGAGCTAAAGTACAAAATCATAAATAAGACCAAGCCAGGTGAGAAAGCTTTTAACACTTCTTTTGTAAATGAAGTGGTATGTCAAAACAATCAAGAAACTTGAAAGCTAATTTTATGTCTGACCACCGAAATGAAGGCGGACAAGATAAATGTCTGCTGTTCAAAGGACCAACGTAGAAAATTACACATTAAATGTTCTTTGACGAAATTGATTGACTCAAATCAAATCAACATCATTGTTGGGAATTTTTATATTTGAGAATGGGTTTAGAATTATATTGATTTCTGGGTTCCGTGACACTTTACAGATTGTAGAAAAATATTTAATTTACAACTATAACTTCTGAATTGGGTTTAGATTGCCCTATTAGAATTGAAAAATTGCTGAAGTTTTTTAAACAAATTGAATAAATCAGCGATAGGATTGCTGTAATTAGACATGGCGAATTATTGGAGAATGACCGATTCATTCTATCATTATTTACTCGATGACAAAATTTCTGATTAATTTCAGTTTACGAATTGAACCTTTAACAATTAAGTGTTCTTTAACTGAATATTTTTATAACTAATTTAGGTTATCAATTTGAAGTATTTTTGAAGACTGATATGAACACCCTGATTGGAAGACAATGAATTGATTTTGGCAAGCGTTCAATAAAACAATAGGATGTTAATCAAATAACTAGAGATAAATCGGCAATGTTTTGTAGTTTATATTGTCAATTTCGACCAAAGTCACGTTAAATACATATCGAGTTCAACCTCAAAATATTTTAAATTTATGATAAAGTTGAATTGATTTACACTTTAAGTCTTAAAGGTTTATCAACTTTTTTTGACATGTGTTAAAAAATAGCAATTTTTGTTAGTTAGTTAGTTAGTAATCTTGGAAAAATGTGTTAAGGAAGCTCCAATATTTATCTAAATAAATGTATAGTGAATTGTCAATTAATTTTACTGTAAATTTGTCTGTATCTTAAGAGTTGAGCTATGTCATGTATGTACTGCAAATAAAGCAAAAGACCAGTAATGTATTAAACTCAAATATAACCACTTATATTCTAATAAAATTTTTGGAATGACAACTAATGAAAATAACATTGCAAATAAAGAATGTAAACACTTAGTACTATAAGTCTGTTTAAAAAAGTTATTAATTATATGAAAATTTCCAAAAATAGACCAATCAACTTAAGATGATGTTATTTTGGGTTATTAAATATGCCATCTCATTAGGCAGTATGAGGGTATGGATGAGGTTACAGAATAGAGAATAAATGGGCAAAAAGTGCAGAATAAAGGGCCAAAAATATAAAGAAAAGAGAAAAATAGACCAAAATAAATTGAGAATAAGGAATAATGGATGCTGAAATATAAAGAATAGAGAATAAGGGTAAAAATAAATATAAAATAGAGAAAAATGGCCTATAATGTTAAAGAATAAAGAAAAAAAGGACCCCCATCTAGGCCCTCTAGTATGGATAGAGAATTGAAACATACACTATAAGCTTGTCTTGACAAAAGTAGTGAGTCTTTAACAAGTTAAAAAAAAATTACACCCTACTTTATTATAGAGAAAAATCTCTAGCCCTCTTTAATGGTGAGAAAAAAACATTTAACCTGCCAAGTCACGTTAATATCATACTTGGCTGCAGGTCTACATCAGATCTTTGAACTTACCAATATTTATTTTTGAAATGTTGAATTTTCTATTAAAAAGTAAACAAGAAATGAATTCTTATAATTACTCTATTAATTTTTATAGTGATTCTGTCCTTGAAGCCGATATTCAAATACTAATTTACGATTTTGTGGAATGAGATTTTAAATGTGTTCAAATATGTTAATGATTCTAAATCATGTGTGTTTTGATAATTATAAAATGCATCTACCGATTCAGGTGATATCACACGAAAAGATTTTTGTCCCACGTTTAAATAATGGCAACAGGGAGTGATCATGACTCATTATCAAATAATTATAAACATATTTGGACAAAAAGATTGACGGAGTTTAAACTAATGATTTTGACAAACTTTTAACGAATGATTTTGACAAACTTTTAACTAACGATTTTGACAAACTTTTGACCAATGATTTCACCTGATTTCACCAAACTTTGATGGTTCACGATTTTTCTTAGATGAGAAATTGTGAAGAGATTAATTTTTAAGAATGCACAGGAGTTGGTTGGAAAAGGCAGATGATAAGGTTGCTGAAAATTGTTGACTGAACAGAATCTGTTTTGAATTTGTAAATGTTTGATAAATATCAGTGTTGTCCATATATATATCTCATTTTGTTGTTTACCTCAATGGCCCAATAACTATATGTAGTGAATTTTTGTTGTCCCCCGCGCAATACCGGCCGTCCGTCCATCCGGTCTTGTTAATGCTCTCACCTATCCAATTCTTTGCGGATCAAATATTTTTAAAAGAGTTATGCCCCTTGGAAACATTAATTTTATTGAAAATTGCATCATTAGCTCTCTCATTTGTACAATTCTTGCCAGATTTTTATGAAACTTATATCATAGATTTATACTAGCATTGTCTTGGAGGAGTTTGAAAATCAGTGCTGATCAATTATTTTTAAAAGAGTTATGCCCTTGGAAATATTGATTACATGGAAAATTGCATCGTTAGCACTCCCATGTGTACAATTCTAGCCAGATTTTTATGAAACTCATATCATAGGTTTATATAAGCAATGTCTGACGAGTTCTAAAATCTGTCCCAATCAATTTTTTTTAAAAGAGTTATGCCCCTTGGAAATATTGATTACATGGAAAATTGCATTGTAAGCCCTCTCATGTGAACAATTCTTACCAGAATTTTATGAAACTTCTTTCATAGGTTTATATCAGAAATTTTTTTTTTGACACTTTCGAAAATAAGTGCATATATATTTTTAATGAGTTATGCCCTTGAAAATATTAATTATAACGGAAATTGCATTGCATTTGCTCTGAAGTCTTCATTTCTCTAAGATATTTATAAAAAGTTTTAAAGAACAAAAGTGTTTTTATACCAAAAATTTTGCGGTCGTATATTGGTATGACGTTGGCGTCGTCGTCGCACTCTAACTTTAGTTTAAGTGAATGGATCTCTATGAAATTTTACCATAAGGTTCAATACCACAAAAGGAAGGTGGGATTGATTTTGGGGGTTATGGTACCAACAGTTAAGGAATTAGGGGCCAAAAAGGGGCCAAAAATAAGCATTTTTGTAACTTCTAGACATAACTTGTGTGTTAGTGTATGGATCTCTCTGACATTGTACCACAAGGTTCCATATCACAAAGGGAATGCTGGGATTGATTTTGGGGGTAATTGCCTCCAAATTTTAGGAATTAGGGGCCAAAAAGGGGCAAAAAACAAGCATTTTTCTAGTTTCATGACAATAACTTGTGTGTAAGTGTTTGGATCTCTCTGACATTGTACCACAAGGTTCCATATCACAATGGGAATGCTGGGATTGATTTTGGGGGTAATTGCCCAAAACGTTTACGAATAAGGGGCCAAAAACAAGCATTTTTCTAGTTTCCAGACAATAACTTGTGTTCAAGTGTATGGATCTCTCTGAAATTGTACTGCAAGGTACCATACCACAAAGGGAAGGCTGGGATTGATTTTGGGGGTAATTCCCTCAAAATTTTGGGAATTAGGGGCCATAAAAGGGCAAAAAAACACATTTTTCTAGTTTCATGACAATAACTTGTGTGTAAGTGTATGGATCTTTATGAAATTGTACCACAAGGTTCCATATCACAAAGGGAAAGCTGGGTTTGAGTTTGGGGGTAATTGCCCTAAACATTTAGGAATTTTGGGCCAAAAAACAAGCATTTTTCTAGTTTCCAGACAATAACTTGTGTTCAAGTTTATGGATCTCTCTGAAATTGTACTGCAAGGTACCATACCACAAAGGGAAGGCTGGGATTGAGTTTGTGGGTGATGAATCATAAGGGGGTTCAAAAAATTTGGGGGGGGATTTTTTTTCCCTTTTTTTTCTTTAAAATTTTCCATTTTAAATTGGTTATTTCTGATTTATATATAAAAGCAAATAATAATGATATGGTTTGAATAGGTAAATTAAAAATTTTTAAGGTCTTAGACCACATTCATTCTGTGTCAGAAACCTATGCTGTGTCAAATATTTAATTACAATCCAAATTCAGTGCTGTATCAAGCTTGAATGTTGTGTCCATACTTGCCCCAACTGTTCAGGGTTCGACCTCTGCGATCGAATCAAGCTGCGCCCCAGCGGAGCATTTTATTTTTAGTTATTGCCCTTGTACCTTGAATAGATAAAATACGCGCAACACGGGAGACAATGGAACTCTGTTCTTTTTATTTTCAAAGCTTTTTCTATTTCTGCATCTGTATTTACAAATATTAAGTTATCATATACAGACCAGACTGTAAAGGAATATTTTTTGTATCACTTAAAATTAAGAAATCAGTCAAGGTAGTTGAATTACAAAAAGATTTAATTGAAAATTTACGGATGAATTTTGACAGTCATTTACATATGCAAAAGTCCTGCAGATTAACCTGTCAGAATTTGATGGATTGTCAGATTAAAATATCTATAGATTTGATTTAATATAAAGCCATAACTAAGTAAAAATGCAGAGCAGAAAAAATTGTATGAAGGGTATTTACCTTGAATGCAGAGGTTTTTACTTGTAATTGAAAGCTGTATTTACAATCTGAATAAAAGAAGTTGTGGAATCAATTTTATTGCAAATTTGAAATGTCTTAATGGGTGAATATAGGATTTCAACTAGAAAATTGTGTTTGATGATGGAAATAAGAACAAGTCGAACAAATTTTCAAGGTTGATTTGTTGTCTGCATCGATCTGTCTGTCCATTTGTCTGTTTGTCTGTCCCTTTCATATCAGGTTACTATTTTGGTTTAAGGTAGCTTACTATGAATTTGTGGTCACATCAACTTGAGCCTTAGCACTCATATACATTATGAAGTGAATTTATATGCCCCTGCCTTAGAGGAGGGGGCATTAAGTTTTACCCTTGTCCATCTGTACGTCCCTCCGTCCCAAAGTTGGTTTCCGTTCTCTAACTTTAGTTTGCCTCAACCAAATGTTATGAGACTTATACGCAATACTTATTACCACAAAACTCAGATCAAGTACAAATTTGGGTAGGGTCACTTTTACCGTTCTTCAGTTATGTCCCTTTATAACTTGATATGATATGCAAGTGGGGGCATCATCTTTGTCCCATGGACACATTCCCCATTTATTTTTAAAAAGACATGCAAAGATAGGAGTTTGACACAGATTTTGAGGTTCAATGACCATGTAAATTTATGAGATAGGGCATCCTATGCGCACATATTTCTTTTGGTTTGTAGTCCCATGATATGAGGGTGTGGATAAATAAAAATAAAGAATAGAGAATAATGAGGTGCTAAAATATAAAGAATAGAGAATAATGGGCAAAATGTATAAAGAATGGAGAAAAATGGCCTAAAAAATAAATGAATACAGAAATAGAGGACATTAGGAATTATTACTACTCTATCAACGATCAATAGGTAGTAAATAAAGATAATATTGATTCATGCTTCAACTAGCATACAAATAACCTTAACTTTATTGTTTTTTATACACGCTCTAGTAATTAAATGCTGTATCAAAATTAATGATAATACTGACCAATTTTGTGAAAAATAAGTTCGAACAATAAGTGGTTAACTGTTATAATCTGGGTACGTAGATCATAGATTGTTACTGAAGAGGTAGTCACATGGGAGGTGAGAACACTTGGTCATGTCTCCAATAACTATCCAAATTGATTGAAATACAGGTCCTATGTCAATATAACCAATGCTCTGTTCTACTTTCTGTTTTAAACACCTTAAGGGATCCTCTGGTTTTGTTGAAATGAAAATTTGTAGGCAGGAAATTCATTGACTGATGTAATAATTACCAGAACAGAAAGTAGAACAGAGTGTTGTCAGATCCTAGCAAATTAAATGTGATGTCAGTCACAGGATCTATTTTTTTTTTCTTCATATTTTTGATTTTCTAATAAAAAATCATATTACTAGTAATTATAATTGTAGCCATAATAGTAAATAGTTGTCCTATCAAACATCATAATAAATGGCTAATGGTGAGTTTCTATTTCACCTCTGTTTAGTCTGAAATTGGAATAACTGATCTCATGATTACATTTGTATGAAAAATTGAGGGTGGCGTGTTTCCCACTCTTGTATGAAATTTGTTAAATCTTTTACTCATTATTTCTCAACTTACGGAAAACCGAGAATTTTATCACTCAAAGAAAGTTAACAAAAAATGTTTGACCCTCTTCAAATCTTTATTATGGACTTCCATTAAAACTTATCTTGTTTTTCTTACTATTCGCTTTGTACTTCACTTCAAGAATAAGAGGGCTATGTTTTAGATGATGTCATCTTGTTGTCAATGCTTGCCTTGCTAACAAACACTTCTGTCAAGTATTGTAAATGATTATCAATTTTTCAAATAAACTCTACTTATTTTTCCAATAATGAAATTGTTAAAATAAATAAATTTAAAAAAAAGGTTAGGGTTATAAGTTTTCAGAGAGGGTTATCGACAAACTTTCAAACAAAAAGAGGATTCATATTTATTTATTTATAAGATTTTTATCATACAATTTTCTCCCGTTTCAAAAGGCTAATTTGAAAAGATATTGCTATCGTTTGTGGTAACTACGATTTAAAATTCAGTGCATAGCATGTACAAATAAAATCAGGGTAATTGAAACACCTCCATGTGTGTAAAAATTTACCTGTGATTATTGACACATACCTAATATGTTTTATTGTCAATATTGATAAAAAGTCAGTACCGTAATTCTTCTAGTAAATTTTAAAAATTTAAATGCTCATATAATTTTACTACGAAAAGAAGGAGAAGATACTAAAGCATGGAGGCCGGTGTAAGGTGACGAAAGTTGACAGAAGCCAAAGAAAGACAGATAAAACAATGTCAAAAAGAAAAAAAAGATTGACTAACAAATAAATATATAATAGACAGAAAGATAAAGATAACTTTTTTGATGGGATTTTATTGCTTTAAATTTAAAAATGTTAAAAATTTAAAAAGTGTCAAAAAAGTACTGGCAGTAGTGAAACTTAATTAAAGATTGAATTCTTTAGAAAAAGAAAAAAAACACCTTTTTAGTTAGAGCAGTTGTAATTTGAGGATAGGTCAACTTGTTATATCATATGGAATGTAGTGAAGAATCACTATGTAAATTGATGACTGTTTAAAGGAATTTTGTTTTAAGAAACTATCAGGGTGCAATTACTGTACACAATAATTGACCAATGACATTTTTATAGCCCCTCATCATCGATAATCTTGCGCTAATTGTTCAATAGTCATATCATTAAGCAGGGAAGGCTCAATCTAACCCCCCATGGCTGGCGATAATACATTGAAACGTCATTTAGAATGTTAGAGTATCATAGATTACCTCGGCAGATTGTCAAACGTAATCCGATATTAAATTCAGACATTTCTCTTTAATTTCTGCGATGATGACAGTGTATAGTAAGAATAGAATTGTTAGTTGTTAAGATTAAAGAATTTGCATATTATGTCAGTATTCACAATAATTTGACTTTAATGACATTATAATGCGTCATTTTATACGATTTAATGTTAGGTTATACGTTACTATACACAAGTTCCTTGCAGTGTCTGCACTCATGTCTGTTATTAGCTATCTACACATTGTAAGACGATGAGCGACTGGAACGAAACCTTATTGAATAGCACGAACACATTTGTAATACTAATATTCAATTTTTCAGCAAATTCTTTTTGTGGTTTTCGTTAGATAACACATCGTGCATATTGCTGAAGAAAATATTTCTGTATGAATCACTTTGTATTATTTAACAATAAAAGTGGTAATTTAATCAAAATCATTAATATTTTACAGGTAATTTAGAGAATCTGACGACATTGAAAGTGGATGACAATCGCTTAGTATCACTCCCCACAACTGTAGGAGGGTAAATTATCCTTTTATTTATATTATGGTTGCAAAGGTTATCAGTATTTTAAAAAAAAGATGTGTGGATAGTTTTGTTGGGTGTAGATTTATTTGCAACTTGAGCACTTCAACATTTAAGTATTTGTACCTTTGAAGGAAGGTGTTGAATTATACACATTTATGTATGGGTCTATCTAGTAACGCAGCTAGGTCATGATCATATGGTAAAATACCACCAGGTAATTTGTATAACCAACACCCGATATAAAAATTTACATTGGTAGACAATTCTTCAGTTGTTTCTCACATATCCAACATTCCAGGGAATCTTTCTAAAAAAAAAGAACATTTTTAGAAACAACTTTTGAATGTGTCTGAAGAAAAATTAAGACTGATTTACAAATTGACCCAGTTTTCTCTATCCATAAAATGGTCAGTACAATTGGAACTAATTTAGAAATTAGCCATTGCAGTTTCTTATAAAAAAAAAAATTAATTAAAAGTTTGTTGTCTTTTATGTTCTTTTGGAAAAACTCATCTATGGCATTTGAACCAAAACATTTGGAAGGCAAGATCAATTGCAAAGGTGAAGAGCATATAAAACAAAAGAAAATTCCAAAAATGTTATGCCAAACTGGTTAAGGCCATCTATGCCTCCAGGTTGAAAAACATAAGCGTTTTAATGATTTAAACATTTTTGTGATTATGTTCTAATTCTCTTGTTCATTCATTATGCACAACGCTTCTTAATTTCTGAAACCTGCTTCAGACCCAAACTGTATACTCTATCATTCTTGATATGAAATAAGAAACACATTTCTGATTTTGTCCAGCACGGTGACCATGTAATTTTATTTAACATTATAAGCTAATTCAAGCATCATTTTACTGTCCACAAAAACATTAGATTCACTGTATGCAAATAACGTCCACTACGGTAAATAAAAAATTTTGTTATGGTATTGTCACTGGCCTTACAGAATATCTAAAAATAAACAAATATCATAATTAGTACACATTGAATTGATCTCTGAATTACATAACAATTCTACACTACTGTAAATATGTCTAAACTATAGTAATCAACGTGGTCACCGCCCAACTTCGATAACTGAAAAAACGTGATCCTTTTCTTATATACTACCCGCAAAATTCAAACCGATTCTTTCAATAGGCACTACGTGACTAAAAAATTACTACGCGTAGAGCACATAAATATATAGAATTTAAACCTTATATAGGCCTTGTATACTGCATATTTAGATTGGTTCTTCATTTGAGCCTACCAAGACTGGTAATAGATATTGAATTAATGTAAATGTTGTAGTGTTAAAGGATAGCCAACACAAGAATATATCTAGAAACAAAGTTATTGTTTTTTCTGGTTTTCTTTTCTTTTCTGTTTCCTGTCTTATCATCTTATACTCCATGTCACTATTTATTCAATTTGTTTTTTTACAGGTTGTCATCATTATCAGAACTAAATGTCAGTGCCAATGAGCTAGAAGATCTACCGGCCAGTTTAGGTTTACTACGTAATATTAGAACACTGTATGCTGATGAGAACTATCTCACATTTGTCCCATCAGAGGTTAGACAATTGAGATTAAATGTATCACTTAATATATAAATAATCTAAAAATGTGAAATAAAAATTTAAATCTTATTCAAGCAAGAAAATAAGTCTACATGAAAGCATGCTGCATTTCTCTTCAGTTGCATTAGTATATTTGAAAAATAAAACAAGAAATTAAAAAAAAAAAGACCTTGTGCAAGAGCAGCTTGATGTTTCATTGCCTGTCCCCAAAGTTCAAAGGAAATGTTATTACGCTGATTTGGAAAAAAAATGAATATCTGATAGATGGCTATGGTACAATTATACTTACAACATCAACTGAAAATGCAGAAGTTAACTTTGAAAGTTGTTTTATTTAATTACTGAACTAGAACTTGGTTTGGTCACTATATGCACAGACAAATATCTTTGGCTATAATCGTTACATGTCTTAAGATGCCTTAGCCAAATCTTTTTTGATATTTTAAAGCTTTATCTTGACAACAGGAAGACCAAAATGTAGTTTTCATATCTTCTAATAAATATTATCCAGGTGATTTTGAATTTGACATGTGATATGAATAATTTTCTATTGTAAAAAAGCTTAATGTTGATCTTGAACAGTCTATCATTTTTTTTGTGTTTTTGGTTTGATGTTTATCTTACTAATCTCCTATTCACTCCAGTAAAATATCTCAAGAAATTGGTCAATTTAAAATTTTCAAGTTAACTGGGTACTGATTTGTAAAAAAAGAAACGGCTAGACATAGTCTTCTCTCTAACAGTTCAAAGTATGTTTGATATTCATGACATGTATGTCAAAACACAGCTAAAGACTTGTCGTGTCAACATCATTGAAAACGTGAGCAATTATTGTTTACTTCATTGAAGATATCTTGAGAAATTAGTCAAGATAAAAGTTACAAATATCTGTCATCTGGGTACAAGTTGTAAAAACGATTAGTTAATGCAGTGTTGCAAGTTAACATGTTTAATATATGTGCATTTGAATCATTGTTATTGGGGAAGTTTGATAAACATGTAGTTTTACAAATGAGTGAGTGATCACAATTAAAATTAAAGATTTATGGGTCCAAAACAGTTATATAATCAGTGTGGTAGACATTGAATAAAAAGTTTATAAAGTTAAAAGAAGACCCTCTTTAAGGTTTAATATGAATTTTATGGATTGTGCACAAACACATCTAACGTGCATGGAGTAATTTGTTGAAATTTAATACCTTATTAATAACTCAATTTAGTTGCAACTTCCTTGAAGAAGTAAAAAATATTCCTGTTTGTGGAACCCCAGTAAGAAAAAATTGAAAATTAATGATATTAAAAGTGTTTTAAAAAATGCGTTAACTGTGATATTTGAAGTAAAGGTGTTTGGTAATTATGTATTGGTATTTAAATGATGATTTGCTTAATGCACGATTTTTCTAATATATGCATTTAATAAGGCGGGTGGTTCCCTAATCTTATCCATGTGTTGGACACCCAACAAAGATGTAAGAGGAAATGAAATATAAATCAGTAGAGCAAAGCTCAAAATGACTGATTTACTAATGCCAAAGTACTCAATATCAATGGTATACTTGGAAAGAACTGTAAAATAAGTGATACGCACCTGCTCAAAACTCAAGTTATATATACAACAATCTTGTATTTTATACTTTTGGTTAAAGACAAAATAAGATTTAAGTTGATTACAATGACATTAAAAAAATTAGTAGTATCCTGTTTCACAAAACAACTTCTAATACTGCTGTATGTTTAAGTGTTACAGGGGTACATAACAATAAAGTAATTCTAAAATCAGTCATCAAAATGTTTTAACAGCATTGTAAAATCAAAGCATCTGAATTTTCAAAGCAGATATCATCTACTGTTTTAGCTATTTGATATTAGGTCTGGAATCTAATGGCTCAAATTGAAAAATATGTAAAAAAATCATTCATTCGTAATATTTATCACGTTTATGTTATATTTTAGCTGGGCAGTTGTAATGGTATCACAGTCCTGTCTCTGAGGGGTAACAAATTAGAATACATTCCAGATGAAATAGGTCGTATCCCACGGTTACGAGTTCTGAACCTGAGTGACAACAGATTAAAATGTTTACCTTTTACTTTCGTCAAATTGAAGGAATTACAAGCACTGTGGTTGTCAGAAAACCAGGTAAACTTCACAAAAGCATTGGTTTAACAGATACCTTTTGTCACCTTGGTGTTTTGTGTTCTATTTACTTTAAAAGTTGGCAATTCCAAATTTATTCCTTAAAAATATTTTTTTGAAAAGCACTATTGGTAGACTATTGATTTCATAAAATTTTGTATCAAATTATAATGATAGATAACATTTTTTCCTGGTTTCATTGTAAATGTGGAATCGCTATTTTTCGGAAAGCACATAAATGTATGCATTCCCAAAATATACTGATAATCAAAATAATTGATTTCATGTATATTGCACTTGGGTAACACCTGTTAATGCTGGTTAGGCCTTACAACTTTTTTTGATACTGTGATTGAAATTTTGAGTTAGAATCCCACATAGGGCAGGTGCACTCGACTCCAATCTTAATCGACTAGGATTGTTAGTTTTCCTATGAAGGTTGGTGGTTCTTTCCAGGCACACCCGCTTCCTCCACCAATAAAAACTTACCTAGAAATAGCACAATAGTGGTGAAAGTGGCGTTAAACACCAATCAATCAATCAATCACTTTGATTGAAATTGTACAAAATTATGCATTCATGGCCCCAAGTTACATGAGTTCCTTGAGAAACTGTACCACTATTTCACAGATGCTCTGCCTGTGGAATGTTTTAATCCCATTGAAAACAGTGCACAGTGAGTTACTTGCCCATTTTTGTTATGTCATCTTTATTTAATGGTTTAATTTATTTTCATTTCCTTATTTAAATTACATGGTGCATTAATTTAAAACTTTAAACAAAATTTTTGTCATGTAATAAAATTTCTCTCATTTGTTTTGTGTCTGAAATCTGTTTAAGAAAGTTATAGACTGAGTTTTATTCATATTTAAATATGAAGTAAAATATATTATATAACACTTTATAAAGAATGATACCTAAAGAACATAAAATATGCATTTTTATGCCATTAATATGCAATTAAAGCATTTAATATCATATGTATATTATGTAAACCAATGTTTATTTTTAGGTAAATGAAATCATATCTGTTGAATCTGAAAATTTATATAAGTCAGGTTTTTCATAACATGGTTACGCTAAAATTGAATTTTAATATAAATGTGAGCTAAGAACATTAAATGTTACCATTAAGTATGTGATAAAAAACAACTAAAATGACTGGAATTTCTTAAAACCTGTTTGGGAGATATTATTTTTTTAAAAAGAAATATGAACTATAAATCTCATTTGAATACACTGTAAATGTTCAATATACAGAACAATTTCTATTCATTATGTGGTTAACCTGAAATGTTAACAACCCTGTGTACTAGTATACTAATTTTTATGCCCTACCTAGGGGCATTATGTTTTTCGGTCTGTGCGTTTGTTCGTTTGTCCGTCTGTTCGTCCGTCCGTCTGTCCCGCTTCAGGTTAAAGTTTTTGGTCAAGGTAGTTTTTGATGAAGTTGAAGTCCTATCAACTCGAAACTTAGTACACCTATGATATGATCTGTCTAATTTTAATGCCAAATTAGAGTTTTGACCCCAATTTCACGGTCCACTGAACATAGAAAATGATGGTGCGAGTGGGACATTCGTGTACTATGGACACATTCTTGTTAAGGGATGATTCAGAATAAATGTTAGGGGTATGGGGAGGAAGGGTGTGTACTTTTATTTTACCCTGCCAAGCGTAAAATTTGAATTTATTATTTCCTAAAAATTGTTCAGGCAATCTTTCAAAAATAATCACCACCTATCAAAACTGGATAGTATTGTCTTCCAAACACCCATAAAATCAATTCTGGGACAGCCTTAACGAAAACATTTTATTATATTTCAGACACGTCCACTGGTTCCCTTACAATCAGACCATGATCCAGACACGGGCAGGAAGATACTAACCTGCTACCTCCTTCCTCAAGAGCCAAACACTGATAATGGTATTGTTTTATTAAGTATTTCACCTCACATTTTTACATGCTAATTATTTTTATAAAATGGAAAAAAAAAGGTAAAAGATACAGTGGATCTATCAAAACTGTAAATAGAAGAGAACGGACAAAACCATGGCTAAACGAACAACAATGAAAAAAGACACAACAGTCCACAAAACACTTCACAGAAAACTTAATGTAGAGCAACACAAATCCAACCAAACTACTGGGGATGAAATCAGGTGCCCTGAAAGATTAGCTGTTTCTAACTTGTTTCTATCTTTACTGTAGTGAAAAGGGTCTGTTAATTTATATACAGTTATATACATATTTCCTGTGCAGGCACTCCAGGGAAGTTAAAATTTGTATAGATACCTTACATTTGGTATTCGATGGCCTACTTTTGTGCTTACATAAATATATTGATAAATCAATGGAGACATTATGAAAAGTAAAAGTAATGCACTTTTTATGTTATCTGGATTCTTAATCAACATATATTAATCTGTATTGCTTGAATAAAAATAACCAGATATAGGTGATCTTTGATTTATATTTTGACTTGTTTTTAGTTACAGGAGTTATTTGGTAATTTAATTGATTTGGTTTTTGTGGCTTAGTAGTGTATAGTATTATTTTATTTATTTTAAATCACTAAATCATAAAAAAAATTCTGATTTTTGTAGAATTTAAATCATTAGATATACCAATAAGACATATTAGTACTAAATGTAGAAGGAACAAATTTATTAAACAGATTGGGACTGATTTTGTTCTTTATTTATGGAATAAAAGATGATAGACCGTTAATCTCTAAAATTGGTAATAGTTTACAAATCTGTCAATGGCACTGGTTGTATAAAAGTATTGCTTGATATTTAAAAGTTTGTTGAAATTTAGAAGCAGGTCACTTTATAGTTGTCAAATGAGATGAAAATTACTAAAAGAAAGACATATGTGTTGCTTTTCTGTGCTCTAGCATGTTAAAAATCAAACTTAGGGTGTCCGTCTAGTAAAATCAGGATTCCTATGCATTTCACATTAACAGGTTCAAATTAACATGTTCACAACCTGAATATGCATTTAATGTGTCATTTGAAGTTAAACCGCCTTCCATCATTATTATCTATTTCGTTTGGCTTATACTTTTACCAAAACAATTTTATATGATTTATTTTATCAGGTGGTGACCATGGTGGAGACACTGATAGCTTTCATCCGTCTATGTGGGATGAGGAACGTGAAAGACGTCAACAGATACATTTTGAATTCAATGATGACGTGGGCGATCAGGTATTTTTTGTTCCATCATATGGATAGGAAAAGGGTAGATTACATGACAGCAGTTCATACAGCAGAAAAATACAAGGAAGCTGTCTAATTTGTCTTGAAAGACCATCCTCATTTAGCAAATAAAGTGGAATTCATATAAAAAAGACCTGTATTGCAAGACAATTTTCATTTGTAGCAATGATGGTCTCTCAGATTCTCTTTATAAGACCAAAATGAATAAAAGATATCAAGACAAAAAAATAGGTTAACATATGTATATAAATGCACCTTCTCTACTAATAACTCCTGTTAAATACACTTCTTAGATATATAGGAGCTATATATGCATATTGAAGCTTAAGTATTGTTTATCATTAATAGCAGTAGTTTATTTGTACAGATATATTTTTCATACTTATAAATTCCTACAAATGCACCATTCATAAAATATAAATTTGTCATGCTTTTTTGCAAAGCATTTTGGGCTTGAAGCATGTATTATTGCCTTGACTAAGGGTTGCTGCATGTGTATTGAAGAAATGTTTATAACTTGACATATAAATGAATGGGGTTTGTCCAGTACTGTGGATTCATAATTATTCGTTGGATGCTAATTTTTGTGGTTTTTGTTGGTAAATGTATAAAACCATGAATTTAAATTTCAAAAAAAAAAAAGAAGTACAAAAAATGTACATGTTTTGTGTAGGCTTGAAAGCATACTTTGACGAAACCACAAATCAAATATCCACACTAATACAATTTTTCCTCAATCCTTCAAAATTGCTATCCAAGAAAACAGATGAATCCTCAGTAATTGTTTTGTTCTTCAACTAACAAAATGTTTGCTGTTTCTTTAAAAGAGATTTGATATCAGTTTGAAAAAAAAAACAATCAAAAATACAAAAAAAAATTTCATATTAAATTCTATTCTGCTTTATGTTTTTTGTTTATTTCTTCATCAGCAGAACTCCTTTGGAAATAACGGTTATTTTCAAAAAAAATATTAATTTCAGTCCATATATTTTGAAGTTTTTAAAGGTATCTGCGTAAGAACCAGCAAGCATATTTTTTTGTCCTAAATCATGTTTTGTTTGTTAACACACTGGGTTATTGTAGGGTAAACTAATAAGACATCCAACCCCATACCCTAAAGAATTGAGAGAAAAAAATAGACATGCTCAAAATTTTGCCATGAGGAAAAGGATGGTGGGAGGCTCAGTAACATGGAGTGATGGAGCGGAAAACAAAGCATTTTCTGATGGAGAGGTAAAACATGAGTGATGCTAACAGAGATTCTTTTTTTAAGTTTTCATAAGAAATAAGATGAAATTGATTTGGAATTAAAGGATGTTTTTCTTTTTAAATTCAAGTGATGTACCAGATTTATTTTCTTTTGTAATAAAATCATAAATAAATTGATAGTAAATCCTGTATTTTGTTGGACTTTTATTAATGTTTAAAAACTGTATCACAAAATTTTATTTGATGTACAATTTTTTAAAATTTATTATTTTGCACAAATATGTAAAACCAAGGCTAGGTAGACCTTGAAAATAGAAGATTTTTTATGTGTATCAATTTTTGCAGTTATATATAAAACCGATCTTTTCTATTGTGATTTCTACTGCAAAATTTACAATTGATCTGAAAAAAAAGATATTTTCATATACTTGCATTGATTCTTTGACTGAACCCTTTAAATAAAAAAAAATTAGTATACCTTCAATATTAGTAGATCTTCAGGTGGGGTATTAGCTGCAGAACCGTAGCTCATAGTTCCTAATGAGCTATGGTTTTGCAGATAGTGGAACAATGTTTCAACTAAGAAATAGTTTCAACAATTTTCTTTTGTTGTTGTAACAAACTTTAAAAAAAAAAATTGTATGATAATCTGCCATGCTCCCACTTTAATAAATAAAGTATGAAGAAAACCTCTGAAGTCCATTAAGTAATACTGCTAGGTTTATTATTTAGCTTGGTGGAAGTGCACTAACTGCATGTCATATTTTTCTTATTGCACCATTTACATTTGAATAATCTGGCTATGGATCATATTGCATTGAGAAACTAAGTTTTATTATTGCACTTTGTGTTAGATACTTACAGTAGCTTGCTAGTAAGATACCAAAATATCATTTCATTTATGCATGTTAAAGTTTCAGAGATAAAAAATGATTTTCCTGTGTGAAGTGTTTTCAACAGAACTGACCATCTGAAAAATACAAAAAGAAGGCTATCAAAAACCCATACACGACTTTCCAATGAAAATAAAAGCAACAAAAAAATACAAAAAGTATATACTGTAGATGCATGAGAGAGGGAGAGAGAGAACTGTTGGCCGTCAAATGTAGACTCACATACAAATTCAATTGTACATCTAGATTCCTTCTGTTCTGAGTGAGTTCTAGATGATGAAATTTTAGATTTTCAACATGCAACTTTACTTTAATGAACATTTTGAAATCAAAGATATAACTATTGAAAGTTGAGAAATATTGTTACTGATGAGCCCAAAGAGAGGGAGTATTTGTACGAAGCTACAAATGAAATTAGATAATGAATAAGTTACCTATCACAAATAACATGAGACAGTTTCATTCACATGCGGTTTAAATTACTTCACTCACCTGGCTTAGCTTAGTAGAAAAGCACTCGCTAATGGGAGAAAGGTTAATAAATGGCAGCTACATGGTATCTAAAAATGATGAAGTATGCATAAAAGACTAAAGCAGCAAAAATTAAGACTTCAAATTTACATGATTTGCATTTATAATATTAAAATAGTGAATTGAATTTGTGACCTCCATTTTAGGTATCTCCAACAGGAGGAGCTGATCTCAATGATGTACATGTCAGAGAAGCTAGAATCTCCAAACCGTCATCTCCGTCTTTACATGAGACGCATAGACTCTATCGTTATGATAAAGTAAGGGACAATAGTAATAGCTTCTACTGATGTATATTAGAATGTAAATTCAGTCACATCTTGTTTAGACTCCAGATTATTTATTTCAATTGTCATTAATATATGGTTAAATATCAACAATATTTCACCTCATTTGGTCTCCTTGTATAGATGTTAGAACAGCACTGTAAATCATTTAAAAGGTCATTGGAACTTACATCTTACACTTCAATGACTTTGAATTGGTCTTGTTTTGTCTTAAGGTCCATTTTGAGGGAATTTTTTACCCCATTTATGGGCAATATGATTTTCGGTCTGTGTGTCTGTTGGTTGGTTCGTTCATTCGTCCGTTGGTTCGTCCGTCCATCCGTCCGTCCGTCTGTCCCACTTCAGGTTTAACTTTTTGGTTAAAGTTTTTGGTCAAGGTAGTTTTTGATCAATTTGAAGTCCAATCAACTTGAAACTTAGTAGACATGTTCCCTATGATATGATCTTTCTAATTTTAATGCCAAATTAGAGTTTTGACCTTTATTTTACAGTCCATTGAACATAGAACATGATATTGTGAGTGAGGCATCTGTGTAATATGGACACATTCTTGTTTTAAATATATATGATGATAATTGAAATTGATTTTTTCTATTTATTTGTTTGATATGCATTTTTATTCACACATCTAAAGACAGTTTCTTTTAATGAAAAGCATACATATAGATATTTAAGTTTTATATTATAGCTCTGCTTGTAAGTACTAGAATTTGATATGCTGGTAAAGAAAAATCATCATGCAATTTTAATCATAAAGACCATAACACAATTTTTAGATGTTATGAATTCAAGCGCTTGAAAATAACATATATGAAATACAAAGTAATGATAGCATAATCCTGTATATCTATTTTTAAGGAAAAGCTTGCTAAAGATAAAGCTAGAATGCACCACAGAGGGAATTCAGCAGAACAGGAATTGACACTGGACTTGTCACAAGTTAGATTATCTAAAGAGAGAGCAAAGCGGCATAGTGGGGAGATAACTCCTGATTGTAAGCCTCCTCAAATTCCCATTAAAGGTATGTTTTCTTTTGTAGATATGTCAAAGAAATCCTAGGGGCCATCATTAATTTGTAGTAAGAGGATGACATTTTCACTGTGTAAAATGGTTCAATGTGAATTGAAGAAGAATAGCATTTACAGCTCTATTGCTTTGCTTTGGATATTTCTTCAAGTACAGGGGGTGGGGGAGGGTTTTCAAGTGTCATGAATTTAGACTCCATATTACCTCTTTTCAATTTGATTTTCAAGCATTTTAAAGATTTTTAAATGCTTGGAAATAATCATCTGCATTTTTTTTTTAAATATTCAGACAGTACAAAATTAATCACCAAAATTGTTAAATAGCCAATGGAAAAAAAAAATGTTTTGGAAACCTTGACTTCAGAAATGGCCTATGTCTAATAACAGTCAAGAGAAAAATTATTGAGTTCATGAAAAAAAATTATTTGATGTGTATGATCATAACATAAATTCATAAATAACTAGAAAACCATTCTATCTAAGTGCTAGTACAAAATTTTTTACACTTGAAATTATCTCAAGGTGAACAGTGGTAATACCTGCAGAATTCTTTAGTGTAATTTATATACACATCTCTATTATTCTAGTTCCAGGTAAAGGCAAAAAGATAAATGGATCAGAAGAGGATGATGGGGGATTTTCTGGCCGAGAAAATTCTCGTCCTAATTCAGCTTACGGATCAAATCCAAATGTTTCGTCACAAAATCAGGATTATTCAAGGGGCGGTAAACCGCAGCAGTCTCCAGGATTTGCATATGCATCTCCTAATGAACTCGCCAAGTCATTTTCTCAGTATGGATATGCTCCAGTGAGTCAATCACAAAATAGAAAACATCGAAGTCATCGAGATTATGATTCTGATACGGGTTATAGGAGTGAGTCTGGTGTGACGAGATACAGCAGGCAGCAAATGTTAGCACAGTATGGTGGTAATAGTGATATTACAGTGACTCCTTGTAAACCAAGACGTAAAGATGGATATTCTAGTGACGTTGAAGGATATTCTCAACGGACACAAAATACTGCTTACAGGGTGCAACAGCAACCTCTACGTAGTCAGTCTAAATCAAATAGTCTTCCTTATAATTTAAATAGCAATCCTCAAAATATGAATAGAACTAATCAAGCTGATATTGGGCATATGAAAACACAGGTAGAAAGTGCTAGTCGGACACTACTTGGTGATAATAGTGTAAGTCGGACTCCTCATGGTGAAAATGTGAATCAATCTTTACATGGAGAAATTCTAAATCGGTCTTCACGTCCAGAAAATGTGAATCAGTCTCCTTATGGAGAAAATTTCAATCGGACACCTCAAGGTGAAAATGTGAATAGGACTCCACAAATGTCTCATAATCGACGTGTAGTTGTACGGAATGATGATCTGTATTCACAACAGTTGCAACACAATAGTCAAAAAGCTGTTGAAAATAAAAATTTATCAACTCTATCCTATCAGCCACCTTCACCAAGTCAATTTCATCACAGTAAAATTATAGACCAAAGTACCCCTGTCTCATCTGACCCTCCATCAGGATTCACATTTAATACCTCAAGGTCAAGGTCAAATAGTGCTAGTGGTAGTAATAATGATGATAATGAAGTTAGAAATTCTGATTGGAGGAAAGATATGTATAATGATAATTTGCCATCTCAGAATTATCAGAGAAGGGTAAGTGCTTACATGTGTCAATGCATTTAGTTTTATTTAGGGAAATAAGATCATGTTTTATGTTATTTTGGTCTAGTTTGAATTACAATTTGTGTCTATATATCATTGTGTATATTGTTTTAAATCACAGAGATGCAGTTTAAAAATATCAAAGGAATTGATACACATGAAAAATACATTGCATTAGAACGTTATTGTATTGGTATTCCTTATTCATGTTATTGGGACAGATTCATTGAAATTTTTTTTAAGATGTTTGAATCAGATACTTTTGAAAAGAGAAGTTTGAAGAATAGGTTGGTAAAACCTTTGCATTTGTAAAAACTAAGATATTTTATGTAAACTTTAATAACAATACAGTTAAATATGTTAAGACGGGAAACTTTTTGGTCTATAATGAAATATTCCAATTTGCCTCCTAGATTAATGATCTTTATTATCATTGATTATTTGATGTCTTACCTTGAAATAGCATTTAAATAACATTTATTATAACTGACATTGCCAAAGGGTAGTGCAAGAAAGTCAGGATACTTCATTTCACAAATGATTTAAATAATTATACCCCACGCAACGAGTTGCGGAGGGTATAATGTTTTTGACCCGTCCGTCCGTCTGTCCGTCCGTCCGTCAGTCCGTCAGTCCGTCAGTCCTGTTTCTTGTCATCGCAACTCCTCTCAAACCACACAACAGGATTTCACGAAACGTTTTTAGATAATAAGGACATACTATGTAGTTGTGCATATCGACAGGAAATTACGATTCAATTTTTTTTCCAGGAGTTACGCCCCTTTGAACTTATTTGCCCAATATACTACTGCAACCTTTTGTCATTGCAACTCCTCTCAAACCACACAACAGAATTTCATGAAACCTTTTCAGATAATAAGGACATACTACGTAGATGTGCATATCGACAGGAAATTACGATTAAATTTTTTTTCCAGGAGTTACGCCCCTTTGAACTTATTTGCCCAATATACTACTGCAACCTTTTGTCATCGCAACTCCTCTCAAACCACACAACAGAATTTCATGAAACTGTGTAGATAATAAGGACATACTATGTAGATGTGCATATTGACAGGAAATTATGATTCAATTTTTTTTTCTGATACAATTTTTTTTTTCTTACACTTATTTTATTTCTCCAATGACAATGTGGGGACGTGGGGTATGTGAGCGCGCTCACTAAGGTTCTTTAATTATTAAATGAATGAATCTCATAAATTCTTGAATAGAAAAATGATTATGTATTTGTCTCAGTATAAATATATTTGTTTAAAATTCAATGTTAATTCACTAATCAGGAAGAAATGCTTCTTAGAAACTTCTCAGATATTGCATATTACATTGTGGTTACAAATAGCTCACACTCATTGACAATGGGTTAAGATTGGGCTGTGGTAGATATATTGAAATAGATTTAAAAGAGCAAAGGGGGATATTTATGAAATAACTATTAACATTAAAAAAGATCAGTGTTGAGAAAGTGAAATTGAAAGTATTGTATATATAGATATATATATATATATATCTGCCATTGCACTGTTTGTCAACACAGTGGCAGTCTATATTCATGATATTAATTGCATTTTCCACTACTTTTTAGACACAACAGAATAGTTCTCCGACAGATAGACCACCACCCTACAAACCTGCCCCACCCTATTTGCAGGGGGCGGGGGCAGGGGCAGTGAGGAAGTTACCTCCTACACCAAGTAGGACTTCTCCGTATGGTGTATATAATTATGACAAAAGGACTAGTAACTCACCGATCATGTATCAACGAATCAATGAAGTCCCAAATACTGAAAACTGTGATAAACATAATGAACATCGGACACAAGGTTACCATGGTAACCAACATCAATCAAATTATCGTCAAAATGACATTTCTTATGGAGATAATGTGTATAGTGCTAGTTATATCACAAGTGAAAATTTACGGACTCCAGAAATGTCAAAACGAAGTATGACTCCATTATCTCAGACCAACCCTGAGAGGTCAAGGACACCAGGGTCTGTTGTAGGTGATGAGAGAAGAAATTCTAGGGACTCTCCAAGAGAATCAGGTTATGGTAGCCGTGAACAAAGTAGTCATCGAAATTCACCAAATGATAGCAATCATTCTCATAAACATTATTATGACCCCTATAATTCAGGGTCATCTTTTGAACCTGGTGATAGTCGTAATCCTATGATGTCAACATATGATGATGTTGAGATGTACAAGTCTGATGATCCTCTCTCTCAGGTGTCACAAGTCTCTAGTTCTACTGATAGTGGCTATCATCAGTTTCATACAGATCAAACTGATTCTCCGTCTAAATACTCAGGTAAAAAAACTCATTCTGACAATTTGGGGGAAAAAAGCTAGGCATTCTTAACAATAGTATGTAATTCTAACAGGAATTATGCTCATTACATTACCGCTGCTACGGTAATTTCTTTATATCATGAAAATTATGATGCATTGCCGGTATTTTAAGCATTATTTACGATCTTAATGAAAAATGATATAAAAATTGCTTTCAAATTTAAATATATTAAGTCATTTTAATTGACAGAAGTTTTCCTGAGTATGACTTTGAACTGGCCTAACACGATTATTTTTACTTTCCAGGTGTTTTTATGCCAGTTCGTTCAGAAACATCAAATGCATCTTGTATGTCAATTGAACACCCTTTGCCTATTAAACCTGTATACTTCTGAAAATTTGGACTGTTTCCTTTTTGTTGTATGTACATGCAATGACATGCATAAGGTCTCGTATTAATACATTTCACAAATCTTTTAGAATATTTTTGTAGATAAGGCCATACATAAAAAAAAAATGCAAGGTTCTCAGATTACTCCTCTTTGGGAAAAAATGTGCAGCAAGTCTGTATTAATATCATAAAATATAAATGGTGTGTTTGATTTTCAAACACTGGGACAAGGGAGATAATTAGAATAAAACCCCAACGACTTCAGCATTACATTTTCTTCAATTTTGGATGTATTAAAGTTTACAGGTCTACTTCATAGCAAAACATGGATGTTTATTCACATAGATACAACCAAATATGTCTAAAAATTAATCTCTATCAGAAATAAAAATAGGAAAAGATATGTATACTAGTCTCAACTTAAAAATTGTTGTTAAATATATATATAAATTATACATCAACCTTCCCTAGCCCTTTTTTAGAAATTGACATCTGAGAACCAAAAAGTATACTATGGCCTTTGCACTAGAAATGGTAATAATGCATGATGACCATACTTATATATTCATTGTATTCGCCTTTCACATATGTATCTTATAAACTCACGTGTACAAGTATGCATATTTATAAAATAAAATATAAATAGAGAATGTGCCCAGGGCTTGCATATAACATTGTAAAGGGACATACCGGTAACTCAAGAATGGTAAGAGTGACCCAAATTTGAACTTGATCTGTGTTTTGTGGTAAAAAGCATTGTGTATAAATTTCATAACATTTGGTTGAGGCAAACTAAAGTTAAGAATGGAAACCAATTTTCTGAGGTACGGACAGACGGACAAGGGTAACACTTAATGCCCACCTCCACTGCGGCAGGGCCATAAAAAATCTTCAAAAGAAGGATCATTAGGTTATTAATAAGTTTTCTTCATTTCAATACATTTTAATTTAATTTGATGCGAGTCAAATTGAACATAATATTTCCACAGTTATGCAGTCATTGCAGTATAGAACATGTAGAAAAAGGATTTAGTTTTGTGAACGAGACTAATTCTTATGACTTGACAACATGTAAATGTCGAAGGTTCAGATAAAGTTGTATGAATAGGACTGCATGAAAACATGATACTCTTCAGAGTTTTTACCAAACCTATAATTTATATAAAGGAAACCTGAGGGGCCCGAGTAGTATCCCTCAAAATCTGTAAATTAAATGCAATTTAGTTGCATTAAAAATGGTTCAGAAGTTATTTGTCCTTGAATGCAGACCAAATTTTCAATAAAAATCATAATGTAAGACAGATATTGTATTTGTGCATGTGCTTTCATTTATTCAGGTGTTTTGTATGTGAAATGTTGAGATATATTTATACTCAGTGCTAGACACAAATACATACTTGCTTGAACATTTGTTATGTTTCTACATTCATCTAATAACTTATCGTTCTTTTATTGAAAGAAAAGATCATGTTCATGTGATAGAAATTATGCATGTTTTTGTTCTGTTACACAGGGTTTGGCATGCCACCCCCATCTAGAGCACCTCCAGATCCATCCTCATACACTTATTCAACTCCCAACGCAAAAGATTTCCCATCAAGGGAGGCAACACCTGATCATTCATCAACTTCATCATCATCTGTACCAGTGTATACACAGAATTCAAAGAAATATGATAAGGTAAGTGTTACATACATATATGATTTGGTTTTAATTTTTTATTTTACAATTAAGCTTCATTAGGCAGGTAATTTTGTAGGCAATTTTTTAAAGCTTCACGTCTTATTTATCTAGTCTCAGCAGCAAAACTTTCCCAGAATTTGGCGAGTTGTCATTGCACACCCTCAAACATGGCCAGAGCTTTTATAATTTTATTCGTAAATTTTAATTTTTATTCGAAAATTTGTAGTTAATAGTTGTAGCACAAACTTCCAAGTTTTGGAAGCTCAATTTTTTGTTTTGTATAATTCTTTCTACCTTCTCTAATTAGTTTACTGATGTAGCAATTTAGACATAGGTAGGTTAATTGAGACTCATGCAAAACTTCCCCAAAAATTGTTCATTAAAGTTAATTTTCATTATACAAATAATGCAAATCAATTGAAAAAGATACAATACTGTTTCTCAAATTGAATGGTATTAAGTTTTATCTTATTCATAATCAAATTTTGGTTATTCGTCAACCCCAAAAAATTGTCACAAATGATATAACTTGTGTGATGTAACCATTGTTGTGTGAAGTATAGTCTTTATTTGTAATCATCTCATTTGTATCATTTTCACAACTGCTTTTAAAAGTCACTAACTAGTGTGTTTTCTTTTTAATAGTCTGAAAAAAAAATAAAAATCCAATAACCATGATAACAGCTTATTGTAGAACCCTTCAGCTAATGCCATAATTAGAAGATAATTGTATTGAGCAAATGACAAATAAGTGAATAAATTTTATGGCTAAAGGAGAAACAAAAAATCTTTTTCATATTTTCCATCTTGAAAATATTCTCATTTTAACATGAGGATTCAGTTGGATTCAGATATAAAAACAAAAAATATCAAAAAGCCCCACAAAATATTTGGGGAGGAGGTTAGAATTTCCTGGTCCAATCAAATGTTCATTTTTTGATTGGTTAGCTTTTCAATTTTGATCAGTTCAATAAGATAAACAATAATATATAATTACAGTTCCATGTAGCAATAACAAAGAATCCAGGGTTAGGTTTTAGTATAGCAGGTGGCATCGGTTCCCAAGGGAACCCTTACAGACCAGACGACAATGTGAGTGTCTCCTAACCTTTAACCTTTTCACTTTGTGGACTAATATCTGCTAATATATCACGGTGGTGGGAATCATCTTTCATCTTGTCATATTTTAAATTGTTTTTAGTATCAGTGTGTGTTTTTTTTTTAATTAAATTCCCAAGAAGGGATGGGTTACTTTAAATGGTTTGATAAATCGGGGTGTGTGTTTTCGTATCCATCTTTAGTTCAATTATTTTTTCTTATTTTTATCATTATTTATTGGTCTGGCAATTAATACATAAAATTTGATTTAGTTGATTCTGAGTTAATAGACCAGCCCAAGCTAAGTACTATACATGTATATGTTTTTGGTTGTACTCAAACCACATTTATTCTGATATTTGCACATGCACACCCTGAAAAAATCACTTTAATTAACCCGCATACATGTATGTTCAAATTTTCCAGTCTCATCAACTGTAGTTCAATTTAGTTATAATATCACCTTAGACATCTAGATTTATATAATAGTGACAATTTGCAATTTCCTACTTTCAGCACAGAGTTATTTCCCTTTTTTGGCAGGCAAATCAGTTTTGACAATTTATTTTTGAAAAAAAGTATTTCTCACACATCAACTCCATTGACTCTTGAAAATGGTAATTGTTTGTTATTCTTTCAAATTCATTTCCTGGTAACAAAAATAAAATTAGATAAAAATCATGCAAATTGGAGATAACCTCTGAATTATGAAATTTGGAAATAAATTGAACTGAAGTTAATATAGAAACAGATCCCTTTAGAAGTGATTTAGAATATATAACTAATTTGCAGGTTGATGATAGATGGCAGGTTAATATGAGTATATTGTTTTAAGGGTGTAACATATGTCATTTGTTCATTTTGTTTTTTTTTTTTATTTTATTTTTCAAATTTTTTTTCATATGTCTATTTTAACTCCAATAGAGTTCATGCTTCATCTGCATAAATTACATGGCCATTACACCTAATTGCTTCTTTTCAGGTATTTTTTATCTGTTTGTAATATTTGTATCATTTCTGAACAAGAGTGCTAAGATCTCAGACAGTAAAATTTTATTTCTGATGTAGATAGGAAATCTGACCTGCAGTTTGTGCAGTCTTGTTTGTGTGTGATCAGAGCTAGAAAATAAAAATATAACACTAGCAAAGGTACAAGACAGGGAAATCTCAGACATTTGAGGTAGAGATGTTCAGTCTCTGACCAGGCTTGTCCAAATTGGAGGAAACTGAAAAACAAGTTTGTCCTAAAAAGGAATTGTTTATACTGAGATTATAATGGCATAGCTTAAATGTTTTTCTTTAGTCAGCAGTAGTATTTCTCTTTCAAAAGGATTTTTATTTTATTACATCTCCTTAGAACTACATTCCTAAAAAGAGTTGTATATTTTTCTCTCATGTGTCGTGTCAATTTTCATGCAACTATAGTTAGTCCAGAGAACTCCCTTCTGCTTATTATGTTTACAGCGATTTTCTTTCACAGACTCAAAGTTAGTGAGCAATCAATATCAAAATTAAAATGACAAAAATGTATGTCTAAATTTTAACTATTTTAAGTAGGGATGTCAACTCGGTGAACAATTACTAATCAAGTTCTCGTTGGTTTTATCGAACAATACTCGAGTACTCGCTCGGGAATATATCTACAACACAGAAATACGTATTTTACATTCTGTGGTTTGTTGTTCAATGGACGAAAAACCGTCTACATAAGAAATTGGAACAAGGAATTACACACCATTATTAATAGCTCATTAGCTACAAGTACTAATGAAGTAAAACAACAATAATCTAATAAAATAATTTAATGAGCACCTATTTAACAATCATAACAAGGAAAAACCATATCAAACAATAGTATTTGGTAATCGTTAAGAAAACACATTTAATACTTACAAAGGCGTAATATAAGGATTAGAAGTTTAGCTATTCACTGAGCGTTACCAGAGGATGCAACGAATTTATTCTATTTGGAAATTTTTCTACTCAACTATATTTGGGGACAGTCGGTTTTGCAACTTTGTAAATTACAGTCTTGCAGACGAAAATATTTTCTCTGAAGGTACCGATGTGACGGAATGGCTAAGACATGTTTAGTTAAAAGTGTTAGCCTAGGTATAGCCAACGTATTTTCGGAGACATTTTAAATGATAGCTTAGTGGAAGCCTTCGAAACAAAATGTATTTTATTTACTAGTATGATTATTCGGTGATGCCTATTTGATTTTTTGAAAGAAGTTCTCAAGAAGATCAATTTTATATAAAGCAATATTCTAACAGGAAACCAATTAATCAATCGTTTTGGTATTCCATTCTCGGTAATACTAAGCGATACTCAAATACTCGAGTACTCGTTGACATCCCTAATTTTAAGTATTATAATGAAGTAAATCCCAAGCTTACAATCCATCTCCAGTTAAAAGACCATGAGCATATAGGTAAACAAGTGAAGTACTAAATGGGTGTGTCTTCATATCTTATCAAATTAGATTAATTTTGAATTTCATTCAAAATCTTTTAAAAAAATAAATAAACTGTGATATTAAAAGTAATATGTTTTAAAAATTCTTTGCAAACTCAATTTCAGTCAATATTTATTTTAAATTGTTTTTTAAATTTTAGTTTAATATTTATGTTTCCGAGTTAATTGTAGAAAATCATGATAAAATAGTATTGATAAGTTATTTACAATTTCAACAATACAGTTGTCACTTTTAATGGATATCAACAATTTTTGTCTCGCCTTCTATTGTCACGGAAGTGAGACTCAGTAGTGAGGAGTGCAGCATTGCTGTCAACAATTTGTAAAAGTTTGTGATTAGGTAACACAGTCGTGACATATTTTTGAGTGAATAGTTTATTAAGAAGTTTTTATTATATATATATATATATTTTTAAGACGAGATGTTCCATATACTTCAATTAGACAGAAACCTAATAACATAATGGTAAATAAAAGTTGTAATAGTGCATGTGTTGGTCTTGTTTACCCTAAAAATGTAGAAAAAATAATATCAGTTTAACAGTATAATTCAACTTATTGTTATTTTTCTGCCAGTGCTGATTACGTAAAATTTTGACGTCATAGCAGAAACTGGCTGATGCAGTACAGTAAAAGTGGTCGTCGTTTGACATCAATCTCCAAATGTGTGTCAAAATCTTGGCTCATGTGTTGCACAATTATAAATCGCATCAGGTCTATTCTGAAATAACAGTCACATATTTCAAAAACTCCAGATAAATAGACAAGCTCCTTGATTATTTTACTTCGTTGACTCACTGCATGTTTTAAAATGAACTTATTTAATTACTAATCACTGTTTAGACTAAGACACAAGTACATTAGAAATGTATATTATGTACTAAAAATTTAGATAATTGTATATCGGTAATTAGATATACTAATTTAATGTGAAGAAAGATACAAAGTAACGATCTTGTTACATGTATGGAAATCTATTGATAACACTCTCTGTTATAATGCCGATCTTCAGTTATATTGAAATATTGTTGAATTTTGATGGATAATTCTGTAACCATAAAAAGTTTTAGTGAAATTGGGAAAAAAAGGAAAAAGTTTGAGTAAATATGAGATTTAAAATCAGATACACACCACTCTGCAATGACAGAAACCATTAATTAGATTCAAGGGTTTAATGTTGCAAAATATGCCTAATTATAAAAAGTCAGATTAGGAAATATGATAGATATTCCTCATAAATTATTACAACTAATTTACTGATATAATATTAAAATTTTAGTAGCACAGGGTCTTTTCAAAAGTTATTTAAATGCATCAACTTTGCTTTTACCATGTCAAAAGTGTATAATTCTTTATGCATATCTCCCGACAGTTGATGGGTTCATTTTTTTATAATCAAAAAATTTTAAATTTGTGATTAAATGACATCATTAAATTTTGATTTAGCCACATTTTAAATTGATACAGAGTTATTGCATTTGTAATTTCCTATTGTTACAAATGAATTCTTAAATACAATATTTTATATTACAGGGTATATTTATAACCAAAGTCTCGTCAGATGGTCCTGCCACCTTGTCACTGAGACCAGGAGATAAAGTATTAGAGGTACAATTTTTATCAGTCTGGTTTTTGTCGAGCCTGTGAATTTTGTCGCAGAAAGCTCGACATAGGGATAGTGATCCGGCGGCGGCGTTAGCTAGCTTCTTAAAAACTTTATATTTTAGAAGGTGGAAGACCTGGATGCTTCATACTTTGTATATGGATGCCTCATGTTACGAAGTTTCCGTCAGTCACATGTCCAATGTCCTTGACCTCATTTTCATGGTTCAGTGACTACTTGAAAAAAAAGTTAACATTTTTTGTAATGTTAAATTCTCTCTTATTATAAGTAGTAGGATAATTATATTTGGTATGTGCGTACCTTGCAAGGTCCTCATGCCCGTCAGACAGTTTTCACTTGACCTCGACCTCATTTCATGGATCAGTGAACAAGGTTAAGTTTTGGTGGTCAAGTCCATATCTCAGATACTATAAGCAATAGGTCAAGTATATTCGGTGTATGGAAGGACTGTAAGGTGTACATGTCCAACTGGCAGGTGTCATCTGACCTTGACCTCATTTTCATGGTTCAGTGGTTATAGTTAAGTTTGTGTGTTTTGGTCTGTTTTTCTCATACTGTATGCAATAGGTCTACTATATTTGGTGTATGGAATGATTGTAAGGTGTACATGTCTAGCTGGCAGGTGTCATTTGACCTTGACCTCATTTTCATGGTTCAGTGGTCAAAGTTAAGATTTTGAGTTTTGGTCTTTTTTTCTAATACTATATGCAATAGGTCAACTATATTTGGTGTATGGAAATATTTTATGATCTTTATGTCAGTCGTGCAGGTTTTATTTGACCTTGACCTCATTTTCACAGTTCATTGCTCAGTGTTAAGTTTTTGTGTTTTGATCTGTTTTTCTTAAACTTTATGCAATAGGTCAACTATATTTGTTGTATGGAAGAATTGTTAGCTGTACATGCCTGCCTGGCATGGTTCATCTGACCTTGACCTCATTTTCATGGTTCATTGGTCAATGTTTAGTTTTCTTGGTTAATGTTAAGTTTATTTGACAGTTGTAATAAAGCTTTATATTTAGGACTATCAACATGATATCAATGATTAGTAAAGAAGGCGAGACATTTCAGCGTGTGCACTCTTGTTGAAAGAATATCTTAATAATAATTTTAACCATTCACATTACCAACAATGATGTAGTTAGAATTATTGACTATTACTTTCCAAAGTGTGTAAAGTGTTTGTTTAATAGACGAGGGGCGGAAGGACCTTTTCAGGAAGTCTTGATTAGGCCTTAATTTTTGCAAGAATTTGGAATTGGGCCTTTTAGTTTCGCAGGAATTTAGGATTTACCCTTATCTGGAATCTGGAATAAATGATTTATTTTCGGTATTTAGGAAAGAATGCTTTATTTTTTGGGGAATTTGGGTGACACCCCCTCCTACAGCTCCTCATTAATGTACAAAATTTGGTAGAAAATCTTTTTCAGAGCATTACACTTGCAGCTATTCACTGAGAGGGATATATTTGATAACTTTTTGCACACTTCGAAAAAATAGTGGAAATAATGGATAGTTAGAAGAAATAATAATATATATTGTGTTTTAGTATAGATTTATTTGTTAAAAGAAAGAGGGAGGCAGTTCTTCAAATATTCACTAATCTTTTAGGTTAAAACTGTTAATCATGGGATAGAATTACTGTTCAGATTTGGTGATTTATTGAAATCACTTAATTAAAAATAAAAAAATATGAACATTAGAAATAAGAAAACATGGCTGAGTGTGTTTTGTTAGTATATTCTGCATAGCTGAATGATAAATTTGTTGCAAAATTATAAATTAAAAAAAATTTCTGATACTTTTGATAATATCATTGAGATTCGTCTATGATTTGATTTTGCAGCATGGGGAACAGTACCCACATTTTGATACTCATTTCTTTTACCCTATCACTGAGGACGAGAGTAAGATCTGCTCACATAGTAACACCTTAAGTATCATCGTAATTCCTACTAATGTACCATCATGACATTTTAATATTTGACAGTTGATTTAAATTAATGGTAATATTTTATGGATTTTGGGTCAAATATTTCTCTTTGGCACTAATGATCCTTTCCCTTCCTTTGTTCAGATTGTGAACTATTTAATGGTCTTTGTAAAAAATGATAATTAAATGTTAGCTAAGCATAGTACATAAACAAAATATTATAAGGGAGATAATTTATTAATTTCTTATCGGGTTATAATTTAGAACAGAAATGTTGCTAATATGGCAGACCTTTCATTGTATAATTTCCTTTATTGATTTTTTTTTAGTCCCCTAACGACGAAGTCAAAGGGGACTTTAGGTTTGCACTCCGTCTGTCTGTCCATCCGTCAGTCCGGCAAATCAGTTTTCCACACTTTTTATCTTCGTACTTGAAGATATTGATTTGATAATTGGTGTATAGTTTTATCATGACAAGTTACAGATCAAGTTCGAATTTTGTTCCGTTCTAATGATTTTGTGCAAAGTTATGCTCCTTGGACCTAGAAAATTCACTTAAATAATCAGTTTTCCACAATTTGTTTTGTCATGCTTGAAGATATTGACTTGATACTTGTTATATAGTTTACACCATGATAAGTTATAGATCAAGTTAGCATTTTGTTCCAGAACAATGAATTTTTAACTGGTAGGGGACTATGTATTGCCATGCAATACTCTCAGAATGCTTGTTAATTTTATTTTGATGGTTGGCTTTTAATGAAAACCTGTAAACTGAATAAAAAAAGATTAAAAAGATCCAACCATACCAGGAATAATTTGAACTTAATAACTTAATTTAAAGAGATACATTAATTGTATACTGCCTGCATTTCGGTCTTTGATACCTGAACACGATTGCTTGTTTGTGATAACTCAGTTTTGATGAGACGGCTATTTTTTGTTGGACTTACAATCATTTATATTTAATATATATACGGTACTAATATTTAAAAAAAAAAAATGTCAATTTTGTGTATATTGCTAAAATATTTCATTGCTGTGCATGTTTTATGTGATTATTATTTTTTGTATTTTATATAATAATTCAAAATGAATTCAGTAAATAAAAACATTTAAAGGTACATACAAACTTGGTAATTTGAACATGATATTAATTTCAGTGTGCACAGCACCTGTTTCTGGATTAACCTTTTTTGGGTATGCTTATGGACAAAAGTTTTGAAAGCCAAAATCATAAAAAGTTTAAGGACACCAGAAGCAATATAAGACTAAACAGACCTATCCTAAGTTCTCTATACTTTTTATTTGATATACAGTATCTACTGAAAAAGGATTCATATGTTGTTATTTTGAATTACAGCAGTAGAAAATTCAAATTTTAAGTAGTCAAACGTTTTCAGTTTGATATCCTTGCTTACGTGTAATGAAGGTTAATTGTTTTAAATTATGATAAAGATTACAAATAGATTGTTTATCAAACTTATTATATAGCAGAGAACTATAATTAAGAAAATGGTCAATATTTATGAATAAGCACCTATTCTTCAAAGAAATAAATTGTCAGGTGTTGAAATTATATTATCATGTATTCAAGAAGACTTACTTTCCATTCTACTGGATTGATACACACTGTAAATTCAGAAATTATTGCAAGGTTTTCATTAGCGCAGATAATCTGACTGGATGAGTATTGCAATAATAAAAACTTGCATCCTGTTATCTTGTACATATATCTGTGTGCAGCTTTTCCTGAAATAGCAATAATTTATCTAAAATTTTGGTTGATCATGTCCAAATCGCAATAATCTGATACTAAATGCTTGCAATAAAGACAATAATAGTGAAAAAGAACAATGATCGGAACTTTGTTTTATCAAAAGTAAAATTTTAAAATATTGATTTTTGTTTATCTTTTCCAGGTGAATGGGCAAGATTTTAACAATGTTAATCATGAAGATGCTGTGAACGTGATGAAGAACAGTAAAACTGTCTCACTTTACGTGGAAAGAGAGTTTCTATGACAACCGTTACCAAGAGAGTGTTTTAACAACCATTCCGAAGAGAGTTTTTGGGATTATAGACTCAGTCATTGAAGACAGAGAGTTTCCTAAAGGACAGTATTTGTACTATACAAGGAGAGAGTTATTATGAAGAAAACACCATTCTTAGTATTTTTAGACTAGAGAAAGCAGTCGGTCAGTGTTGTTAAATCAACAGTATTAAGACTGAAGTTGAAGTGTTTCAGAGATTGACAAAAGATGCTATCAGATCACCTGTGGTGACAGGGCAAGGAACTATATGGCCAGTCTAGGAACTAGAGTTTTTTATAGGGTGTAGTAATAGGTCGAATAGATCTTGTTTTAACACTTACAGTTGGCAGCATAATTATATTTTCTTTGTCTACCAATCTTATTATTCGATTTTTACAGTTGTTTTGTTGATCACTCATAACAAAAATATATTTTATGATATCAGATGGTATAATGTAGGTTTATATAGGTGGATGTTTTTTTGTTATGTCAAGTTTTAAGGAATTTATTCCATAGAATAAAATTTAAAGAATGAAAATTTTCTTAATTATTTGAAAATTGGTTTATTTTATCAAATAAAAGTGAAGAAAAACTCTTACTTATTAATAAATGAACAAAGGGAAATTTTATTTACTTCAATAAATAAAAGATACTAGTTGCTAATAAATAATTAGTTCAGTGGAATTTTATGAATCAAAATTCTTTGGGAATAAGGAGGATTACAATCTTATTTTTACTATTTTAACAGGTTCAGAAAAACAAGCAACACACTTAGTTCACCGCTGCAATTTGCTTTTTCTTGATGCACAAGAAAAAGGAAAATTAGAAAAAAAATCCTGTGCTATTTTTTATACTTTACCTAAAAATAAATTCAACAACAAAACTATAATGATCGGACATTTTTGATACTAGTTGAACTTAGGAATGATGTTTTTTATTTTCTCTGTGCATTAAACTATTGAATCTCTGCTAATATGAGGCCGTCCAAAATACAAATAGGTTGTTTTAAAAGATGTTATGATTGTGGTATATTATGCATAATATATTTTTGTAAAATTTTATTGTTGTGGTTTCTTTTTATCAGAGTAAGAGTAGAATTGTTTGGCAAATTTTGTAAAATTTGAATTTTACAATATTATACATTTGAACTATAGAAACTAATAATTCATTATTTTGGTCTCTTCAACAAGCCTTTTGTTAGCCAATATAATTCAGTGTTTTCATAATCTAGTGTATATGGGTAATATTTTCAAAGAGTATACCAAAACATTGTGATTTGTCAAAAATGTCTGAAACTATGAATTAAAAAAAAAAATGGCAAAAGTTTTTCTTTTTGTGTTCTGGCATATGTAAGGTTATTGTACCTTTAATCTTTTAGCATCTGAATTAAATGAATTCTTTTTAATAACTAAATATTTAATTTCACAAAAACAAATTATGAAATTTCTTCTCAGAAAAACATTCATATTTCATAAAGCTCATTTGTAATTATGCCCCATTTATGGGCATAATGTTTTTCGGTCTGTACGTCTGTTTGTGCGTCCGTCCGTCCATTCATCTGTTCATCAGTCTGTCTCTATTCAGGTTAAAGTTTTTGGTCAAGGAAGTTTTTAATGAAGTTGAAGTCCAATCAACTTGAAACTTAGTACACATGTTCCCTTTGATATGATCTTTCCAATTTTAATGCCAAATTATAGTTTTGATCTAATTTCACAGTCCACTGAACATAGAAAATGATTGTACGAGTGGGGCATCCGTGTACTATGGACACATTCTTGTTTTAAACATGTTTCCATACAACTTTATTTATCATTATGACCATGGTGGCATAAAACAAATTTTATATTTTCTGAAACAAATTTATGGTAATTATTTATTTATTAAATGACAATGGCTACATTTACATCATATTCAGGATGTTTGCCGCGTAGTTTTTCAACTTTTCCTTGTTATTTTGTACTTTCTCTCTGGCTTGTTCATAGGTCAGGATATGCAGGTTTAATGCATATCCTATAAACTTACTTGGTAAATAACCCAAATATTTCTCAGTATGTTAAGAAAATTACATCTCAAATACTAAAATATTATTTCATATCATGTATATTTGTTCATGCACTTTAAACTTCATTTATTTCCATATACTTTATAGGAAAAATCCTGAGAAGTATTTTAATGTATTTTTCATGTTCTTTTGAAAAAAACATTATTTATAATTAACTAATGATCTGCAGCAATAAACTTTAAAGTTGATTTCAATTTTCAAAAAGATATATTTTAAAAATTAGTTGTGAAAATGTTTTTATATATTTACATATTTTTAATCCAGCTTTCATAAACTATTGTACAGGTATACATTCCAGTTGATTTGATAGTGAGACTGCTGTATTTTTATGCATTTAATTCATTTTCTACTTGCCAATCTACCTGATTAATAAAATATATGCATTTTAATGTCATAAATAATTTGTATTTATACATTTTCAATTTTATAGGGATTTGAAATCTTTAACATTATCTTTTCTTTTGATCTTTGTTGTTTTTATCTATTTTGCGTTGAAATTTTGTGAAATTGCTGGCAATAATTTTAAGACCAAACGTTTTATCTTCTTACAATTTTTATGTGAATTTATAATCTACCAAAAAAGTTACAATGAAATCCTAACTTTATAGTAGTTTTTTTAAATTATTTAATTTTTTTTATTACAGTGTGTTTTGTTTTTTTATATGCTAATTTATATATCATTCCCAAAAAATTGTTAGGAAAATGGATTGAATTTTAACTTCCAAGTTTCTATTAAATTGATAGAAATGAAGAAGCTGCCCATTTTAAATCAGTGATTTTTATCGGCTTTGCATGATAGACGGTTCAGTTTATTTCCTTTTTTAATGAAATATATATTTAGTTAATGTATATGTTAATGGGAATTTTTTTCCAAATTCATTTTTTAATACCCTCAAAGTTTTTAAAAATACATTTTGTTCAGTTTTCTAATGTATTATAAATTTGAAAAACAGAATAGTTATCCTCTGCATGTGTTTATAAATTTTTTTTTTAAATTTCTAACATCAAATTAAGAACGTTCTCCAAAAAAAATGTTGTCTTCATTTTAATCCATGTTTTTGTTTTGCTAATTTAATTATTTTGTTTTGTAACTAATTTATTGTTGTAAAAAATATTGTTAAAAATTTTGCATTTGTCATTCATTTGTAAATCCATTATTTCATTGATCAAAATACGGCAAATGAAATTGTTATGTAAATTGAGAATAAAAAACTTGAAGACATAGTCTTGCTTTCTTTTAAAAGTTGCTTAAAACATGAATTAGAAATTTAGAAATAGCTCATTTATGAAAAAAAAGGTAACAAAATCTTCATATATTTAAGTGACTGCATTTATGAAAAAAAAAAAAAATATGAAAAATGAACCTTTTGGCAATAATAAGTTCATGCAAGGTAACCAAGATGGATGTCTTACCAAATAATTACCATAAATTGTTGAAAGCCAAGCATGTTGTTGCCTTTTACAGTTTAATTTTTCCAGTCCACTCATAGTTGAGAAAACATTAAATGGAAGAATAGACCAGACCTGATGCCCCTTAAGAAGACTAGAATCAAACAACAATAAACTAGAATATTTTGTGAACTACACTATTTATAGCTCACATGAACAGCTGACCAGAAGGTGATATAAAAGTCTGGAAGCGAAATTTCAGCAGAAAATTGCTCACCACTAGTAATTAAGAATCTCCTGTAATCACCAGAAGATATGTCACACTGAAATGACTTGTCTGCTTTTATTCCTACATGTATACATCAGTTAAATGTTGGATGTATTTGAGATCATGGTCTTACTACATTAATATTGAATTAAAATCAAGAATTGTCTCTAGAAGTAATGTCCAAATGGAATGATTTTTACAAGGATGATCTTGTGTTTATCCGAAGTAATGCTATGGCATGGAATTTATGGACTACTTTTTGGATTTTCTAAAACACATTTACGAAAAAACCTTACGCTTGCACAAACTTATCGCAAGGTTTCCCAGTGTCTTATTAGCTATTAAGTCAGGATTACTACCAAATGATTGTACATCTCGTAGAGGTTAAATTAAATAGTATGAATTGTTGTGAAAATAGCCCAGATAAGTATATTTGAAAACGGAATTCATCATGGGTAAATTTTCATGTCATCAAATATCACTTAATATCAGGGACTTGGGGTAGTTACATTACACACTAGTAACGATAAACTTTTATATTGAAACCTAATATTCATAGGCACTTGTCTCTGAAAAAAAAATTCCTATAAACCTTAATATTAAGGTATACATGTATAGGATTTTTTTTCAGAGACAAGTGCCTGTGCTAACATTATACATAACATAAATTTTTGTCTCTCCTTGACGGATTCAAAATACGAGACTAAGGTATGCTGTTAGCTGCATCAACGATGCATTAGTTTGTGATTAGGTCAGTTTATTGAAAACAACTAGTGGTAGGTCAATGATAGTTGATATGCAGTTGTATTAACATTTGCACATCTTATTTCTATGGAGACTATTTGACACCGCCCCTTCAGTCATGGTCTATTTACTTTGAAACTTTTGCTTTCTTACTTTAACATGTATTAGTTTGTGATTAGGTGTTAAAGGGGAACCACTAGTGGTAGGTCAATGATATTTGGTATGCAGTTGTATTGACATTTGAACATCTCATTTCCATGAAGACTATTTGACTCGGCCCCCTCAGTCATGGTCTATTGACTTTGAAACTTTTGCTTTCTTAACAGGTATTAGTTTGTGATTAGGTCAGTTTTAGGGGAACCACTAATGATAGGTCAATGATATTTGGTATGCAGATGCATCAGCATCGGCACATCTCATTTCCATGGAGGTCATTTGGCTCTGCCCATTCATTCTACACTTTTGGACCACTAAAAGAAAAAAACTTGATTTATGTAATTCTGTATTTGATTTAGGAACACTAAAATTATCTCATGTTGAAAGGCGAGTATTGTATGATTGTTTACCATTTGTAGGCACCATTAGATTATGATAAATATTTTGGTGCCAATTCATGTTTTGATTTATCATTGACAATGACTTGTGGTAAAGTATTCTCTTAGTAACAGGAATAATTCCAGATTCCAAAAATAGTTCACTACTCGGATGGTTAATGAATATGCTTGTTTAAAATAAGGCAAAATAGCCCCTTAGGTGCTATTTTACCAGCTCTGGCAAAATAGACTCCTTAGTATTTTGCCGATTTATGTAGAGTTTTGCTATTTTACCAGTCTTCATTCAGATTTTCAGTATATTAATTAGGAATAGAAAGGAATATAGAAACATACACTTTAATAAAACATCTCTAAAAATATGTCTTCTTTAAAAATTGTAAAGCAAAGAATGCATATTAAAATTCATATTCTTATTATTGAGCCTGCGACTTCTGTCGCAGAAAACCAGACATAGGTATAGTGATCCGGCATCTGCGCCATTAACAAATTACTTATAAGCTTAATATTTCATACTTTCTATATATATGCTTTATATTATGAAGGTTCTGTCTTTCATATGTCCAATGTCCTTGACCTCGTTTTCATGGTTCAGTGACTTCTAGAAAAAAAGTTAAGATTTTTTGTAATGTTAATTTCTCTCTTATTATTAGTAAAAGGATAACTATAAATGGTATATGCGTACCTTGCAAGGTCCTCATGCCTGTCAGACATTTTCACTTGACCTCGACCTCATTTCATGGATCAGCGAAAAAGGTTAAGTTTTTGTGGTCAAGTCCATATCTCAGATACTATAAGCAATAGGTCTAATGTATTTGGTGTACGAAATGATTGTAAGGTGTACCTGTCCAACTGGCAGGTGTCATCTGACCTTGACCTAATTTTCATGGTTCAGTGGTTAAAGTTAAGTTTTTGTGTTTTGGTCTGTTTTTGTTATACTGTATGCAATAGGTCAACTATATTTGTTGTATGGAAATATTTCACGATGTACATGTCAGTATGGCAGGTTTTATTAGAGCTTGACCTCATTTTCACGGTTCATTGCTCAATATTATGGTTTTGTGTTTTAGTCTGTTTTTCTTAAGCTATAAGCAAATAGATCAACTATAATTGGTGTATGGAATTATTGTAAGAATTATATGTATCTCTGGCAGGTATCATCTGACCTTGACCTAATTTTCATGGTTCATTTGTCAATGTTAAGTTTTTCTAGTTAAGTTTGTTTCTTAGATACTAGCAATAGGTCAACTATCTTTGATCCATAGAATTATTGTAAGGTGTACATGTCTGTCTTGCAGGGTTCATCTGACCTTCACCTCATTTTAAATATATGAAATTTTTATGGTTTGGTCAGTTTCTTGTATACTATAAGCAATAGGTCTACTATATTCGGTGTATGGAATGATTGTAAGGTATGCATATATTATATTTAGGACTATCAACATAAAATCAATGGTCAGTAAAGCAGGCGAGACATTTCAGCGCGTGTACTCTTGTTAAAAATTGTAATAAAAATATCCCATAAGTTTTGAAATTAAAAGAAAATTCAACAAACTCAAAATGCTTTACAAGTGTTACAAGTACTGACTACTATTCTTTCTACAGTTAAAGATGGGCTTCAAAAATATTGTGATGAGATATATTCTACCAGTGGTGTTAACCAGATGTGGATTCTCAAAAATTCGAAAGATCTACTGCTTAATCTTCGATCGCAATCTTTGCAATTTTGCAGCAACATAAAGACTTGATTTTTCTACGCTTTACACTACTATTCCCCATGCTCAGTTGAAAGATCGACATCACCATCTCATTAAACAGAGCTTTTTCTATAAAAATGGGAATCGTAGATACAAATTTCTTGTTTTGGGTTACAATAATTCAGATTTTGTGAAGAACCACACTGAATCTACCAGAAAACATACTGAAGATGATATTATCAAAATGCTGGACTTTTTGATCGACAATATATTTGTTGAGTTTGGAGGATTTATATTTCAACAGACAGTCGGTATTCCAATGGGTACTAATTGTGCATCCCTACTGGCCGATTTGTTTTTTGTACTCGTATGAAGCAGAATTCATTCAGAACCTTCTAATAGACAAAAAGAAAAAGCACCTTGCGAAATTCTTTCATTTTACTTTCCGATATATTGATGATGTCCTATCATTGAATAACCCATATTTCAGCCAATACTTACATCTCATATATCCCAGTAAACTTGAAATAAAGGATACTACTGATACTAGAAGGACTGCTTCATACCTTGATCTTTTCCTCAATATTGACACACATGGACGACTTCACACGAAAATCTGTGATAAACGGGACGATTTCAACTTCCCAATTATCAATTTCCCATTTCTCAGCAGTAACATACCCTCTGCCCCTTCGTATGGTGTTTACATATCTCAGTTGATACGTTATGCTCGTGCATGTTCACACTATACGGACTTCATATACAGGAGTGTGCTCCTAACGCAGAAACTGCTCCAACAAAGTTATGAGGAGGACAGATTAAAAATGACACTCCGTAAATTTTACGGACACCATTACGAATTGGTCGATCCATACGATTTGTCTTTGTCCAAACTAACTAAGGACATTTTTACCACGTGTTAGATTGTGATTTGCCATTACGTCGTCTGATCTTTTAATTACCGAACGTGACTTATTCCCGATTGTGACTGTTTTGCTGAGTGTGAATTCGCATTGCTATAAGACGTGTCACGGTACTTTTCTATCCAAAATTCATGTATTTAGTTTTGATGTTTAAAACTTATATTTGTTATTCTCATCGGATTTTGTCAAATGTCTTATCGTTTGTAGTTGTAAATCTTATTTTTTTCTGTTGTATTCGTGTGTTATGGTAAAGATAATTAATCACCCAGTTCATTAATTAAATTTTAGTTTGGGTCAACCAAATTTATACGATATATTTGGTTTACAGTTTGATTTAGAAGAAACACCGACATAGCTAGATAATACAATTAATTATCTATTAATGATCTCTAATTACTACTACATTTTATATTAATTTGTATTGTAATTTTCATAGTTTTTAATAAATGTTATATGAGTATTATAAACCAAATCTTGAATTATATCCTAATTCTATCCTATTTTGGGGAAATTTCAGAAATTCAAATGTGACGTCACTTTTTTTGCGTTGATCTCTTTGGCTAACTCGGCTGTGATTTTATGTGCTGGTTTAAGTTGTTTTATATTTAAAAATAAAAATGTATCCGTTTTTATTCTGTAGTTAGTCACCACT